TAGAGATTGAGCTATGAAATAGTTTAAGCTTTGAAGGAGAGGTCTCTTTGACTACTCAGTTCATCTGTGGTAGCAGGAAAGCAGCTGAAGATGATTGAAAACCCGATCCTGACTGCCCCAGCACTGGATGATGCCCGCCAACATTGAGCCTGAGCTTTTCTAATCAGAAAGCAACACTGAGCCTCCCCTCTCTAATCAGACCCACGCCCTGAGCACCGCTGGGAACTCACTGATATCCCCAAGCCATGCTTCACAAGTCTCTAGATATTTATTGCACCAGAAATGATGCAATTATCCCACATATGACTCCATTTTCCATGTCTTAAACATACCTCTCTTAAACAGCCTTTTCCCTGTCCCCTAATTGGAATTACAGTTGGGGATTTCAGAATTTCAACTTTCAGGATTTGGGTCTTTGGGGTTGTGTCTTTTAAACCTATCCCCCAACCCCAAAGACACAGACAAACAAACAAGCAAAAAATAGGCAACTGACAGGATTCAGCTAGGTGCTGCCGACTGGAGACTCCTGTTCCACACCGTCCCTGTTATCTTAGTGAACTTCATTCAGTTTGAAGCATCCTGCAGAAACCTTTGCATGTCGCCTTTGCCTTTGGAATAGTAAACTGAATCCTTAACCTATGAGGACTTCAGTCTGACCCTTACACCTTCTCGGTGTCTACATTCTGCCCCAGGGCCTAATCTGTTTCACTCTATATTATGCAGTCTGTATGTTTAGAATACCCCTCTGTTTTGACCTGCCAGTGTAATACCAGGAAGCGTTCGTGAACCCTGAAAGACCAATCAGGAGCCGATGCAACCACATGAAGGTTTCTATTCACAAGCTCGAGCTTGGGACTGGACCTATCGCTGACTCACAGGACGGTTCTAGTGGAGAAAAGCCTCGAACACACACTGGGGCAAGGTTTAATAGAAAATGACAAGCGATGAGGTGTTTCTAGCCTAGCAAGCATCTAATTAGGGGGGAAGGTACTATGGCCTTTAGCCTAACTGGCTGGTGCAGGGAGCCAAACCATAAATTTAACTTCTTCTTTCCTCCTGATTGGTGGTTGTTAGGCAGGGGTGGGCATGTAACCTGAGGGTGCAGATTTGTTGGGGAATAATCGAGAGACTGGTGCTAAATGCTGGATTTGTTGAGGGGGAGGTTACCTGGGGGCGCAGGTCTTGTTGGGAGGTAGCCTGGAAACTGGAGCTAGGCTCAGGTTTTGTTGGAGGGGTAACCTGGAAAGTGGAGTTAGGTACTGGCCTGTTAGGTCAGGTTCTCTAAGATGGAGTCTGAACCCCAAGAATTTGATCTCTCACCAGCAAGATGTGGCCACTGGCACAATAGACCGTAATGTGAATAGCCAGCCCCTTTCTAATTGGATTTGAGCCCTGTTGCATAGAAGGGAATTCAAACCTCAGTACTGTAAACCTGAAAAGCCCATGGCTGGGAAGTTCATAGCTGTATGGGAGAAATCTACTGTTATTTTGCTAAATGCTTGTGTTGTCAAATTCTTCTGAATATGTATGTTTATTACCATGTGTCTGTGATACTCTCAACCTTTGTCAGGGAAGCTTCCTTGTGCAGTGGTTACTGGTAAGACTCATAACTGAGTGTGTAGGATAAGTGAGCTCGCGGAGGGGTGCTCTGAAGGGCGGGCGCAGCACCCCCTAAATGGAGCATCCGTATCAGCCCTCTTCACTACTCTCCACGCCCAAGGAATATCAGGAAGAGAGGGTATAGAGGATGTGTCTGAACAGGGCCAAGCCAGTGAAAATTCCGCTGTGGATAAAGGATGGGCTCATGGAGGCCCCGCCTCTAGCTGAGAAGCAATGGTTGCTGGGAGGAGAATCTTTCTTCTTTGAGGGTGTGCCCACTGGAAGGTTGCCTGTGCTCTGATGGAGGGCTCTACATCTATGTGATGGAGACAGCACTGACGGGACTTAGGGGGATATCTAGATATCTATCAATACATGACATGAAGTCAGGATGTATTGGGAGGGAGTCCTGGGACAGTTGGAAGGGGAAGTGGCAGATAGATACGATCGACATGTATTGTATGCATCTATTACATTCTTAAACGGTAAAAAACTAAAATCAAAGCATGAAACCTGAAAGAAAAATATTCTTCTCCCCTCTCCAAATTCACTTTCACGCCTCTCCCTGCTGCTTTATTTATAATGTCAAGTAACAAACCAAAAATAGAAAAAGCAAAAGGAAAGACTAGTGGAACACCACACAGTCACTCTATAATTGTGTATTAATAGGGAAATGCTAATGTGCTACTAAGAGAAAATGGTAATACACATCCAAAGTGTATTTATAGATAAATATTCATGTAGAAAGAATCTGGAAGGAAACACACCAAAGAGTCATATGGATTACAGGTGACTTTTCTTCTCTTTCTTTTTTTCTCTTCTTACATATATTAAACATATATGTACTAATTAAGAAAACAATGTTTAAGAAAATCAAATTAATAAACCATCTGTGGGGCTGGAGAGAGATGTCGTTGTGATTAAGAGTATCCCGGCTCTGTCAGAAGACCTGAGTTCAGTCTCCAGCACTGACCTCAGGAGGTGCATAGCCACCTGTAACTCAGGCTCCAGGAGGTCCTCAGAGGGTTCCTGAGGGATCATCTGGGGAAGCGAAGGGATAAGAATGAGAATCCAGTTCAGACTGACTTGGTCAACCTGGATCTGACTTCAGGGAGACTAATGCCAGGCGGATCATTGTCAGCACATTTAAAACACAGTACAATGTGGGAAAAGGTTTCCAGGTAACACTCAGTCCAATTAGTCCAATTCTGGGTGCACAATAAAGTTTAAGGTGTGATTACATAGAAACTCCTTTACGGAGTACATGTGACCATGAGGGAGGGTTCTATAGCTAAAAGGCCTAGAATCTCATGTAGTCTCTGACCGACAGCAGAGAGGTCAACAGGCCATAGAGTACACGTAAGCTCCCCTAAGGATGGGTAATGTCCTAGGGAGGAGAGAGTCTGGGATAAGCAGTCTGAGGAATTTGGGAGAGAGCTGCTCCACAGACAGCAAAGAGTTTACCACGTCGTTAATAAAATCCACTCCTGGCTTTCTGGATGCAATAAATGTATATATTTGTTTTTTATCTTCTCCATTGAGGATACACCCCTGCATGGTTAACATTTCCTGTTTTCGTGATTACAAGAAGCTCCGTGCCCCCAATAGGATCAAAAGCCCTCTTCTGGCCTCTGGAGGCCTTGCACTTATGTGCACAAACTCATACAGGGACACACATACATACACCTAATTATAAGGAAAAAGAAAGAAACATCTTTAATTTCAGGTGAACGCCTTCCAGAAGGATGGGGAAAGAAAAGAGAGTTCCAAGGTCATTTAGTTATGTTCAGCCTTTTGAAATTTGAAATTGAGGGATAAGGTTGTCACCTATAAAGTTCACACTAGAGAACCCCAATAGAGCTACTAAAAAAGTTACAAAATCTTCACCTCATCCTTTAAGTAAGATTAAGATTTGTTTTGGGTGGCATTCATAAATATCCTGGGAAACATACTGCCTAGTGGCCAACACAACAAATACTAAAATCCCTTCACTTGGAGTGTTTACTATATAGGTAGGAAGATTTTACTTGTGGAATATATATATATATATATATATATATATATATATAATCATTTAATATAATTTTATTTATGTATGTATAATTTATATTTTATTTTATTTTTAAAATGTTATTTTTCTGCATGTATAAATGTTTTCCTTGTATATCTGTGTACTACATGGTGTGTAGAACCTGATGACCTGAGGCCAGAAAAGAGCATTAGATTCCCTGGAACTGAAGTGATAGTTGTGAACTGCCATGTTGACGCTAGGAATTGAACCCAGATCCTCTGCAGTTGTTAACTAGTGTTCTCAACGTATGAGTCATCTCTTCAGCTCCATTTCATTCATTTTTTTAAAAGATTTACTTAAGTAGGTTGGTGATAGCATACACCTTTATACCAGCATTAGGCAGGCAGAAGCAGGAGGGTCTTTGTGAATTCCAGACCTGCATGGCCTACATCAGGCAAAATTATGTAGTAAGAGACACTGTCTCAAATGTGTGTGTGTGTGTGTGTGTGTATATACACGCGCGCACGTGCGCGCATATACACATATCCTTTTTAAAAATGTCGTATTCATGTGTGAGTACCTCATGTATGTATGTGCACCACTTGCATGACTGATGCCTGAGGAGGCAAAAGAGGGCATTAGGTCTTTTGAAACTGGAGTCACATGGTTGTGATCCACTGTCTGTGGGTACTCAACCTGGGTCTTTGCAAGGGCAAGAATTGCTCTTATCCACTACAGGTCCCGAGGTTTCATAATCAATGCAGCTCTTTTTACAAAGGTAGTCATTTTATCATAGAAGAATCAACGAAGTTAATTTCTCTCCAACTTGATTTAAAAACAATCTCAAATCCAGTGTCTCAAACACCACTCTCTATTTAGTGCAGCTATCAGTGGTAAAAATACTGTCATTCTTTATCAAAAGCAATGATCTCAATAGAAGATGTAGACAGCCAAACCATTAAGAAACCCAAAATCCCAACCATTGAACACTGTTCAGGTTTGATTTTTATTGACTCTCAAGAGCAAATACACTTAAAACAGCACACAAAGCTTCTGAAATCCAGCGGTAGTTCTTTACCCCACGGGCTGGCAGGCCTTGGATCCCACTTCAACCAGTTGAAACCAGTGCTGCAAGACACTGAGTTCCGCCGTCCCTCGCCCCGCCCCTCCCTCCAGGCCCCGCCCCGAGCTCCTCCCCGTGGCCGCCCCGCCCCCCGCGCAGTCTGTTGGCCTCTCCCACTCTCCGCCCGGGTGTGGCAAGCCCGGGCTCGCGGAGTCTGTTGCGCACGCCCAGGGCGCCAGGTCCCAGCCCGAAGGAAAAACTTTAGCGCCAAGGAAGCTATGAGGCGCAGCGTTCCGCAGGCTCCTTCCCGGAAGCGGAAGCTCGGGGGGCGGGACAAGGGCGGTCTAGCTGTCTCGGCGGTTAATTCTTCTTTTCTCAAGCATTCGCTTCCCTACGTCTGGGCTATTCTGACGCTGAGAGAGATGGTCAGGTCTGGATCTCGACCGGGCCAGGTGAGGGCTGCGGACCTGATGAGTCCACTGTGGGGTGGCGAGAGGCGAGGGGGGTTTAGGAAGGTGCTAGAAAAAATAAAACAGCAACTGCGGCGCGCCCGAAGTGGTGAGACGTCCCTAGATGACTGCTTTATTCAAGGCGCCCGTGCCAGTCTTCCAGAGCTCAGAGTTTGGTGTCAGACCCCCGGGTTCGAAGCCCAGCCTTTATCACCGGTGCAATGACTTCTCTTAGCTTTAGTTAATCCTCGCCCCAGATTCAGCTTCTCAGCGCTGCCACCGGTGCTTCTATGAACTGATCTGTCTCTGTTGTTGAAGTCTCCCAGTAAGTGGCTATACCAGCCCTACTGTTCTCAAACGTGTGACTCTTGATGTTTTCTAGTAACTGCCCAAAGTACGACAGGGGAACCCATTTTCAAGGTACTTACTTGGCTTGGAACAGAGCCATTTTGTATCTACTTCCGTCCCTGCCCCCATCCAATGAGGTAATAGAGCTAAACTAGTTTTAGCCCTGCTGTGCCTTTCCATATCTTTTCACATTCTGGTGGGCCTGATAATTCCCCTTTCCATCTAGCCCCATGTCAAGAACCTCTGTTGAATATTTGTCGAACACTCTCATATCTCCATTAGTTGGGTGTACTTCAGTTCACTTTCCACATCGTGTACTCTTCCACAAATCACTTCATATTGGACATGTACTGGTCTACTACTCCTAGAATATTCCTTCTCTGTCTTGGAGATTTAGAAAACACTTGGCATCTAGATTTGGGGTTTTACTTTGTTCCCGATCATTTTATCAACATACCTATAATGTTGCCTTTCTTGCTCATGTGTATTTTGCACTTTTTTCCCCCAAGACCTGTCTTGAGACTTCCTTTTTTGAATGGATGCGTGTTGTCAAAATGTCTAGGAAAATATGCTCTAGTCATCAAAGAAATGGAAATTAAAACCATGAGATATTTTCTATCACAAAATAAGTATGAGTGAGGGTGTTGAGAAACTGATACTCTTGTATAGCCCTGGTGGGAATATAAATAGCATAGCTTCCTCAGAAAATAAGCAAGCGTGGCAATGCACAACTGTAGTCCTAGTACTTGGGAACCTGAGGCAGGAGGGTCATGAGCTTGAGGCCAGCTTGAATAACAGTGAGATCCAGTCTCATAAAACCAAACCATTTAAAGTAGAGCTGAGGTGACCCAGCCAGCACCATACTAGTATTTTTTCAAAAGAGTTGTTTGCATTTACTTTCATTGCTGCATTATTCACAATAGCTAAGACATAGAAACAACCTAAATATCTATGAGTGAATGGGTAAAGAAATTACGGTCACATACATCTAATGGAATATTATTCAGCCTTAAGGAAAGTCTGCCATATGCAATAGCAGCTGTGAAGTGCGAGACTTGCTTAGTGAACTAAGCTGTTCCTAGAGGACAGATGCTGCATGATCTCACATACATATGCCTGAGGTAGACCAATTCAGAGACAGGGTAGAGCAGTGGTTAGAGAGACTGGCTGGGAGAACTTGGGGTTACCATTCAGTAGGTATAAGTTTTAGGTATATGAAATCTAGGAATCAGTGAAATAGTGTACCTGTAGGTAATACTTTATTTTGTTAAGGTAGATGAGATGTTAAATATGACTTTATAAAAAATAAGGAACATCTAAGAAAAGCTCTAGAGTTTGGTTAAAAATGTTAGAGCATCCGACTTGAAGGAGCTTCCTCTGATTGACTCTGAAACAATTTGAGCATCACATTTTTTAAAGACTTACTTACTTTTATGTGCATTGGTGTTCTGCCTGCGTCTCTGTGCAAGGGTGCCAGATCCCCTGGAACTGGAGTTCAGACAGTTGTGAGTTAGCTTCTTTGTTGGTGCTGGGATTTAACAGGTCCTTTAGAAGAGCAACTAGTGCCCTTAAACACTGAGCTGGTCCTCTCGAAGAGCAGAGCAACCAGTGCCCTTAACTGCTGATCCATCTCTTCAACCCAAGCATTAATTTTTTAAAACAAAATTTTAATAAACTTTATTATTTAAAGACTTATTAATAGAAAACATCACAAATGAAAATCACCCAGACCCACAGCCTATAGAACTCAGCAAGTTTATGTATAGTTAGCCATCCTGAAGCTGTGATGTTCACACTGAATTTCATGCTATCACTATTAAATATGTCTTAATGCACTGATCCATCACAAGAAAATGCAAACCCATGGCAAGGAATTAGAACAACAGTTACCTTTCTATCCTCTTTCATAACTCAGATTCATCACCTGCATTCAGTCCATCCTCATCCCCTAACGTTTATTCTTTTTTGTTTTCTTTTTCTACTTTGTATAGTGTATCCACCTGTATATTTGTTTACATGTGAACATCACTATTAATAATGGAATCAATGTGTTCACACTAACCAATCAATAAGGAAGAAAGAAAGATCCTATTAATTGAAAGATTCTATTAATTGAAAGTCAGCTTATAAATGTAGAAGGAATTGTGTAGCTACATAAGTCATCTTTTGATAAAACATTCCCTTAAACAGGAACCATCAATGGGTGTTCAGACTACTGAGAAAGAGTTTGAAGATATCCACATACTGTCAGGGTATCTTATAAAACACTTGATTAGGAAGATAAGAATTGTTTGTTTGTTTGTTTGTTTGTTTGTTTGTTTTGAGACAGGGTTTCTCTGTGTAGCAGTCCTGGAACTCACTCTGTAGACCAGGCTAACCATGAACTCAAAGATCTGCCTGCTTCTGCCTCTCCAGTGCTGGGATTAAAGGCGTGTACCACCATGCCTGGTAAAAATAGTAATCTCAATGACAAAAATCCTGGCAGACACCGTCATAAGTCATTGTATATCACCAGGACAAACTAAGATCATTTCCCTCCCAGAAATACCTAACCTGAGTCTGATCATGAGAAAACAATCTAAATATTCAGAGAACCATTATTCAGAATGATCAGCCTTTACTTTTTAAGTATGTCAAAGCTATGGAAGATACTGAGAGCCCAAGGAACTAGTCCAGATTAAAGGAAATTCATGAACCTTAACAATTACATGTACCACGTGGTCCTGGATTGGACATGGACTAGTCTTTGTTTTTTTCTATAAAGGACAAAATTGAGAGAAGTATAATGTGAATCAGGTGTATCTAGATTAGAGCATAATGCTAAAGTGTTCAATTTTTATAGCTATATTTGGAAATTTTGTTCTTAAGAAACATTTAACAGCATTATGATCTCAACATATTTTGAAGTGGGCAAACAAAAAATATTGCTATCTATTTTGAGGTTATATATGTCAGACAACATTTTTTGTTTTAGTTGATACTGTAAATTCATGACCCTTTTGTAAAGATTTATTTTCTATAACATTTGGGGCAAAAATGCATAGTATGCATGCATATGCACATCCAAATAGAGAAGAGTAAAAAATGTCAGGCGATTGTAATCACTCTTGCTATGAAATATGTAATCATGTGAAGACTTGGATGAAATCACCCACACTGACTGCACCCAGGAGTGGGCCGAGGGGAGGATTAGGAGCTTTGATGTCTTAACATTTTCTTTTGAGTGGAGATTATATTTATCAGATACAGTTATTAAGATATAAGTCATATATGATATAAAGCTTTCCAAGTGCCCTGCTCTGGAAATCTCTCTTATCAGCTTCTCCAGATACCCGGTTTTCCTGCCTGAAGACAACTTTGTTGGGTGACTTCCAAGACACTGAGTGCATGTACAGATGAACACCTTGTCTACATAAAGGTCGTGCATTACATAAGTTTTAAAATGCAGACTTAAAATTGTTACTCGAGTTTAAAGAGAGAGAAACGGAGATGTAGATAGACAGAGGGTTTACTGGACTAGCTTGTGCAGCCGTCTAAGACGTTAGAAGGTAGCCAGAGGTATGAAGAAAGTTTATTGTAACCTCTGCATATGTGTGTGTGGAGATCAGGGATCGCTTGGCTTCCTCTAACACCCTACGCTTCATTTTTGGAAACAAGATCTCTCACTGAACCTGGAGCTCTCCACTGTTTTGGCTAGACTGGCTGCCGAAATTCCCCAGGATCCAGGATCCACCCTCCACAGCATTGCTGGGGTTGTATACAGGGGCCCTCAAGCCTGGCTTTTGCGTAGATGCTGGGACCTGAACTCCCTTCCTCGTGCTGCAGTCAGTTTACCCGCTGAGCTGACTCCCTGGCTTTGTTACGCTGGACAGACATTCTCCCACTAAACTGTCTTCCCAACACCTTTGTCCTGTTCTTGAATTGCATGTATCAGAAATTGGAGATTTTAGAGCATGTTCAAGGATTCAGTATAGTCCAATTATAATGTTAATAGGTCCTTTTGGCTTGAAATGATATGGCAGTTTTCTTTACAGGTGTAAGAAGTAGACTAAAGGATCATATACATGTGTTGCCTTCCCCATGCTGCATGTAGAACAAATGTATTGTAGAAGACAAATTATAATTGTGGATTTTAAAATACTTCTCATTTATAAAGAGTAAATGCCATGTTACATAGGTAAAATGGAATATTCAGCCTCATAGAAGAAAGGAAGCTTTGGTTCATTCTACAATATAAATGGTGATTAAAGATACTATGCTGGTCACAGAAGGACAGATGTTCCACTTACAAGTGGATTCTAGTGTAGTCACTTTGAGAATGTAGGAAGTAGTTGCCAGGGCAGGAAGAAGAGGGGATGAAAACTTACTGTGTCACTTTGGAGGTATGAAAAAACACATGAGTGCTACTGAAAGGATGGCAGGATGGCAATCAATGGAACAATAATTACATATCTTCTATAATATATTATGTCATAGGTGATATCTTCAGGAAGGCAACCCGGATCTAAGTTACCAAATGGAAAGAAAGGGTGAGTACTTCTCAAAGTTTCCAAGTTCAGGAAATCTGAACTTAGATTAAGGCAAATTTTCAGGCCTTAGGGTTTGACCATATTTTGCCTACCTCAGGAAAATAAGTGGGCTCTGCCTCCACAAGTAGTTGGGTATTATGCAGATTATAAATCATTAGTGAGTGATTAAGTCAAAGTCGTAATAAGCAAAGAAAGGCAGTTCTCCTTGGAGTTTAACCAAGAGTGAGTCCAGACTTGAATTCTCTACTTCATGCTTCTGTGTCTTCCGGCCTCTCAGTCTGTTTTATGAGTCTGAATCTGTGTCTGCCTGAAGGCTGCCTTGTGAATCTGTGTGTGTCTATCCCTATGTGTTTGTATCTGTGTGTAAATACAGAGGACTTCACTCTGTCTTTATTGAACAGCACTAGAAGCATCCCATGGGGAAGGAATGGGATACTTTACAGAAATCTTTAATAGACTTCTACAAGGGATTATGTCACTCCAGCTGACCTAGACAACAGTGTTTATCAGCAAATTTCCATAATGGTTGCTTTCAACCTTTAGATTTTAGGAGTTTGCTTTCAAGTCTGTGTTTGCCGTCTTTAGCAAATGAAGCCCATGTATTACTCTGGGTCATGGCAGGGACGTGGCAGAATAACTTGGAGGTTGCAGCAGTGTATTAGCTGAGGCTGTAAAATGTGATTACCTGGGAAATGTAAGGCAAGTGGGTTTGGGTGTTACATTCTTCTCTTTAGGCAGGTTAAGCAAACAGTTTGGGATAGCAAAAATATGTGAGAGCAGTCTTAGTCTCCTGTGACCTCAAGGTGTAGTATCCTCTGTGGCCGTGAGGACTAGCAAAAGTTCCAGTCACTTAGAATGTAACAGATGTCTCAGAATATTCCGTCACTTCCTGGATCATTCCAGCCTAGCCAGTGTCTAGTGCTTAGTAGTCTTCATAATCTCCACAGTATCCTGTCCACATCATGTGGATAGACAAGCTTTCTTTCATCTTTGCTGGAAAGGAAATGATTGTTTACATATTTTGAAAAAAAAAACTTGCAAATTTTTTTAAGGATATCAACTTTTTGTTTTCTAGGACCCATGTAAGAAAAATAGCACATTTTACTGTAGATCCCACCTGTCCTGTTCATTCTGATTCAGAAAGTCAGGTAAGGTTAAAGTGACTGGATACAATATGCTGTTTTAATTGGACCTCAGGTAAAGGTAACAGATGACAATGCCTAAGTAAAGTGTGATTTGCACCAAGGAAGTATAAAGGCTGTCGTCGCTTTAAGACATGTTTCTACAATGATAAAGTTCATGTAAAGAAATGTACTTGAGGAGGCGAGGTGTATTTTTCTCTCTAAGAGGCTTTCTTCCTACAGACGGACACTGTACAGGGACTGGACGGTTGCGCTTCTTTGCTGCGGGACATTTTGAAAAATGAAGATTCAGGTTTTATTTTTTAAGTTCTTTACTGATCATCTTTTATCAATGAGCTAGTTCTTTTTCATGTTTACAGATCTTTTTATTATTAACAGGCTCAGAAATGGTATATTCGGATAATAGATGCAATTCTAAACCTTTACAAGGCAGAAAGAACAGATCTAAGAAGAAAGGACCTGAAAAACATGTTCCTTCAGTGGTCCGAAAAGAAATATGTAAGTATTTTCCCCATATTATAAAAGCTAATTGTGTATGTGTGAGTGTGTGTGTGTGTGTGTGTGTGTGTGTGTGTGTGTCTGTGTCTGTGTGTATGTGACTGTGTCTGTGTACACATACCAGAGGTCAAGCCAATGCCAGGTGTCTTTCACTATTTGTTGAGACAACATCTCTTTACTGAACCTGAAGTTCACCAGTTCTGCTAAAGTGGTTGGCCAGGAAGCTAGGGATCTGTCTGTCTCTGCTTCTCCAGTTCTGGGAATACAGACATGTACCTCTGTGCTGAACTTTTCATGGGTATTGGGGATTTGAATCATAATTATTTTTTTTTAAGATTTATTTATTTATATGAATATACTGTAGTTGTATTCAGACACACCAGAATTGGGCATTGGATCACATTACAGATGGTTGTGAACCACCATGTGGTTGCTGGGAATTAAACTCAGGACCTCTGGAAGAGCAGCCAGTGCTCTTAACTGCTGAGCCACCTCTCCAGCCCCAAATCATAATTCTTTTAAAATTAACTTGTGTGTATATATTCCAGGTTAGTTAAAGAATAAACTTGATGAACTAGTTAGGATATAGGACAAAAAAACCTGCCAATGGTTGACACTGATTGTATCCAAAAACATAATGTTGTATGCTTTCGTGGTTAACCTTGCTGAAAATTAAGTGTAGTGACTCAGGAAATATTTTAAAACAAGTTTTGAGAATATTGTCTTTTAAGGCCTATAGCACTAGACAGTTCAAGATGAAGTAGAAACAGTCTACACTATGAATTCCATCCTTGAATTAACATGGAATTATACATATTTATGGGGTACAGTGTGATGTTTACATACATATACAGTGTATAGCAATAAAGTCAGATTACAATGGGAATTCTGGGTGGAATCAGCTAGTCTTACTCTTCAGATGGGCCAGAAATGTCAGTCAGTACTTAAGGGCATGCTTACATTTTACACAAGGGGTAAAGTTAAAAAAAAAAAAACTAAGTCTACGCCATACCACCCTGAACGCACCCAGTCTCGTCTGATCTCAGAAGCTAGGAAGGGTCGGGCCTGGTTAGTACTTGGATGGGAGACCGCCTGGGAATACCAGGTAATGTAGGCTTAAAAAACACACACACACAAAAAAAAACCTAAGCCAATCCCCCTGGATATTAAGAGATCAAGATGCAAACAAAACAGTCTAGAAAATGGAGATGGAACGACTGGACGTTGTCATTCCGTGTGATCATTCGTTAAGATGGTGAAGGCTAGTAAAACAGGTCCCTTCGTTTCTCCATCTTGGAGAAATCATCTTCTATTATGTTTGCCTGCACTGTTCAGGAGGGTAGGCACTATCCCCCATGTGCCTGCTGACCCCTTGAGATATGACAAGTGCACTCAGTATGTAAAAATTTAAGTCCATTTTCCATTTTTCCAGCTCCTGCTCATGAAATGACAACTCTGAGACTAATTATTTATGCCTAGGCCATAAGCTTTGGCTCATTCCCCAACCAGCTCGTAACTTATTTGACCCATTCTAACTATTCTATGTCTTCCACATGGTTAGTTACCTCTCCTCAGTTTCATGTACCCAGGTCCAGGGAGAATTTCCTCCTAATTCTATCCTGAGTTCATCTACCTGCTGGTTAGTTAGCTCTCGTTCAATCCCCACCTGCTTCTTCCCCAGCATCTGGCTCTCAACTTTCCAGTCCCTCTCTATTTCCCAGAATCCTCTATTTTCCTGCCAGTGTCCCACCTCCTGTTTCCTGTCTCAGCTCATTGGCTATAGGTTTTTTTATTGACAGGTGTTCTTACAAGCGATCAGTACACCGGTGGGCTGAGTGTGTGTGTATTTTTGTGAGTATGTGTTCACATTAGTGTAGCTGTGTACCCATGTGCATACACGTTTGTCTTTCCTTATTCACTCCCTACCTTTAGTTTTCTTACTGAACCTGAAGCTTATGGATTTGCCTAGGCCAGCTGGCCAGTAAACTCCATGGATCCGTCTGCCCCTGACTCCCCTTTGGGTTAAGACCATACTGCCTTGAGAGGTTCTGGGCATGCCAGGTTCTGGGAATGCCAGGTTCTTGTGCTTGAGCCAGCACGTACTTTACTGACTGGGCTATTTCTCTAACCCCTAGGCATAAATTTTAATTAATTTAGTAAATTGGAAAACTGATATCCAATTATAAAACTTTTAAGATTTTTGGAATACTCTTGGTGTGTAAATCTACTCTTTACTATAAATTATATTCAGTCTAAATAGAGATGGAATGTTTCTGATAAAATATTTAGCATCTGTTTTGAGGTATACTTTAAATATATGCTGGGTTTTGAAGATTTAATACAAAAAGTGTTTTAGTTCTGGGCATTACACACTGAAAAGTTAGTATTATTGCTGTGTTATTTATTTTTGTGGTGTTGGGGATCAAACTGAGGGCCTTCAGTGTGCTAGGCAAGAACTATACTGTTGAGCTGCAGCCCCAGCTCTGGCTACATGTAATTAAAACATGAACAGTAAGTCATCCTTTTAACTTTTTGGTTTGGCTACTTAAAATTTTAAATTACACATATTGCTTATATTATGTTCCTGTTGGACAGTATCAGTCTTAACTAGGGTCAGTACCATATAGCCAGTTGTGTTTTTAGAAATGGTGTTTAGTTTTACTTCATAACTAAAGTTTTGTCAGAACCTACTGTTCATATGTCTTCATGGCTGCTTCCATACTACAGTGGCATTGAGTGGTTGTGACAGACAAGTTAGCTCACAAGCCTGCAGTGTTTACTCTCTGGTCTTTCAAGAAAGAAGCGTGTTTGGAGTTTGTTAATTTATGTGGGATGGTGACATCTGCTGGCAGTGGCAGGACATTGTATAGCTCAGCTTGATAAGAGACCCCAGAAAGGAGGCCCGTGAGCTAGTGGATTGAGAACTTGGGCCTGTGAACTTGGACTCAGAACTCCTCAGATTAGACAGTTCTTAGGGAACCAGAAGTCTAAAAAGAGAGGCCTAGGATTTGGAAGGGGAAGACAAAATTATGTGCTGTGGCTGTGGACTCTGAGGTCCTGTGGATCATCTTAGACTTCAAATTTAAAATAGGTTTAGAGGATATTTTTCTATTTTATTTATTGTAAAATAATTTTTAATAAGAACTGATACCTTATAGGAAGTTATTAGCTTGTTTTGTAGCTCTTCTGATAGAGATGATCTGTTATTGCTATGGGTTTTTATCATCTCAGAGGGATCATGTTTAAAAGTATATTTCTAGGTAGCAAAATTTATTAAAATGAAATATTTACTTATCTGGTCAGTTTGCAACTATTTGATGATATAACATTGCTGAGTGTTTACTCTGTGCTACGTACTGTTCTAAGACGTTGCCAAGTGTTACAGTTCAGCAATCTTTAGAAGTTGATGATTTTTATTTGCATTGTACTCTGTATTTAATAACAATGAGATTATGAGAACTAAGAAGACAAGTATAGTATTACTGATTGACTTTAACTCTGTGACCAGGGTTGTGGGGTGGACTGAAAGAATGACAGGAAATTGAAGGAGTGAGTTGGGGTACCTCTATGTGAGGTAGTGATTGGCAGCATCAAGCAAACTCACTTTTCCACTCTCAAAACTAAAGGATGCAGCAGCCTATCCTGGAGATATCCATATAGTGAAGATACATTAGGAAGGTGGAGAGACCAGTGATTAGCCTGCCCCTCAAATAAAGGAAGAAATGGCCTTCAATCCTGTGTGCATGCGCACATGGCAGAGGCTGACATCGGTGTCTTCCTCCTCGTGCATCTTATTATTCATTTATTTGGTAGTCCTGGGGCCTGAACCCAGGGCTTCTTCACACATGCTGCACAAATATTCTTCACTACTTCCATCTTGTTTGTTGAGACTCGTCTTTTCACGGAGCCTAGAGTTTGCTCTTCCAGCTGGTCAGTGAGCTCACAGGAGCCTCTTGTCTCTTGCTCCCCTGGTCTAGGTTTACAGATGCCCATGGCTATGCCTGGCTTTTTAAGTGGGTGCTTGAGTGACAAACACCCCACTAAGCTCTCACCCCAACCCTCGGGTTCTGTCTTAGAATCCTGTCAGGCTTCTAGAGTGTAGTCCTAAGAGTCACATTCACCTTCTAGTAGTATTTCCCAAAAATGAAACCTTGGGCTCTCCATACCCCCAGTAATGCCCATCAGAATTTAGAGATTCATTTTCAAGGTCGTGTGTAAACATCAAATTCCTCACATTATCAGACAGCTTATTGGGCTTGTTTAATTATTGAAGGGACTCTCAAATCCACCAGGTGATTGTTCTTCTCCCCTCAGTAGACTTCTCTAGTTTTCTTGGATGTTGTCCCAGGAGGTCCCATTTGGTTTGGGAGCTTTCCTATGGACTTCAGTGGGACAGTGGCTATGAGCCGTGTGTTCCTGAGAGTTGGATTAGAACAAACTCTATGTTCTTTTCACCTTCATAGAAAATTATCTTTGTCTCCTTGTGAGTCTTAGGTAACACAGCCCTCAGTGCTCAGGCATTGCCTGAGACTGGCTTTTCCAGCAGTCCATACACTCTTCACATGAAAACTGGTTTTGAAGACTCACTGCTGTGATAGTCTTCCGCATAGCACCCAGTAGACAGTTTGAGCTTCTTCCCAGGAAATACAGGGACAGGGCCTGCAAAGATTGTGCCTGCCTTCTGCGGTGCTTGGATCTATTGAGTGTCAGGATTTCTATAATCTCTTCTGGTGTCAGAATAGGATTCAGACCTCAAAGTTTCCCAGCCAGTCCTAAAACCATTCTGCTCCAAAGAAGCAGTATTCTTTTAATCACCAATTTTTTAATAAGAAAAAAAGGTAAGGAAAGGTTAGGCAAATCCTCAAGGTTACTCAGCTAATCAGTGAACATTCTAGTATATGTCCTTTAGTAGTTGTAAATGCTCATGAAATTGAGTCATTTGTATTTGTTTTTTGTAGGTGCTACCCCAAGCTGTTTTTCAAAGTCTATTTTGTAACCTGATAACTTGCAATCTACCATATCCTGTCATTTCTGTTAATCATGTTTAACAAACATTTGGGGATGGGAATCTTTTTAGACAGGGAAAAAAAAACTAGATTTTTTTTTATACCTGATATAGAATAATGCTGTATCAAAACCTTTCTCATTCCTGAGGTTATTAATACCAGCCTTATACTTTACGTATACACTAGTGAGAATTTTAATAATGAAGCATAAGACACTCCTGCCTAGGAGCTACTTGATATCTGTGGGAGGCCCGCCCTTTTTCCGAAAAGAAAAAGAGGAGATGGTGGTGAAGGTAGGGGGAAGGGCTGGGAGGAGAGGAGGTGCAGGCTTAGATTTTTCAAAACCTATTTTTTTTTAAAGCATTTATATAGTAAGGTTTAATACTCCCAGGCTTAAGGCATCCATCGGTGGGTATTAAAATATGTTACCTATGGATAGGGACACAACTGTTGTTGTTGTGTTCTACAGAAAAGAGTTCTAGGGACTGGAGAGATGACTAAGCAGTTGATAGTATTGGTTACTCTTGAGTAAGAGACTGGGTTCAGTTCCCAGCACTCATATGGCAGCTCACAACTGCCTGAACCTCCAGCTTTGGGGATTTGATGCTCTCGTCTGTCCTTTAATGACACTAAACACCCACACAGTACATTTTACATACATGCAGGTACTCACACATACATATATTATCTGTCCTTTCTTTTGTCCATTTCTCATTTGAATAGTAGGTTTATTCCTCTGTTATTACTGGTTTTGTATTTTCCTCTTGGTTTTTTTCTTTTTTTGTGCTTACATGACTTTGTTGTAGTTATTCCGTTTTTACCTTATTTTTAGCTGATTTTAAATTTATTTTCATTTAAAAACTCAGTGTTCTAAAGAATTTTCAATTAGTGTGAAGTTATTGCAGCATCTGGGGATGTTTCTTCAGCATCTGCCACATTTTAAAATGGTAACTCTTGGAGCTGAGAGATGGATTCCTCAGTTATTGCCTGTTCTGCACACATGAGAATCTGATTTCTACTCCAGCAGTCAGGTAGACAGAAAACTCATTGCAAATGACTGTAATCTCAGCCCCAGGGAGGCAGAGACAGCCAGGTCCCTGGGCTTATTGTCCAGCTGCTGGGAGCCAGCCCGGCTTGGTGGAAGGAGAAGGTGATCTTCTTTCTTCTCCTCTGGTCGGTTCTTCTTGAGGCAGCCAAGGGGGATAGGAATTGGAAGAGCGTCGGCAAGGGGTAAGACTTGGTCTTACGAGATTCGGGGTAATATCTTACGAGATATTTAGGGTTGCTGTTTAATAAAATCTTTCTTGTCTACGTTACTAAAGTTTACTTACTAGGCTACTGTAGCTGACCTGCAATCTGTTTGATCCTCTGAGGCCAGAAACTGCAGTTTCTGGCACTTAACACCTCAGCCCAGGGACAGCAGAGGATAAAGCAATGCCTTTGATCTGTCTCTGCAGACACTGCCAGGCTCTAGCTTAGGTCTGTTAGTTCGAGGTTGCAGAAAGAAAAGACACTTAGAAAAGTTATTATAGTTTATTACTAAGTGTAAGAAATTTCCTATGAAAGCTATCTGTGGGGAAAAGTGGGAAGGTCCTAAGTGAGGAAAAGGAAAACATTCTAACAAAGGAAAAATTCTAAGTGGGGAAATTCTAAGCAGGGAAGAAAGAAGAAGGAGAGGAGAGGGAGAGGGAGAGGGAGAGGGAGAGAGAGAGAGAGAGAGAGAGAGAGAGAGAGAGAGAGAGAGAGAGCCAGAAAGAGTGGGAGAGTGAGAGTGAGAGTGAGAAAGTGAAGTGAAGGGAAGTGAGAAAGAGAAAAGTGAATCGCTAATGAACATCCCTTTGTCTTATACATCCTTCAGAGTACCTGATCACATGTTACAAAGTTCATCACAAGTTCACACCAAAATTCAAATCATAAATTGAAATAGAAGTTTACAATCGAGAATGTTTACATGCATATCCATTAGGAGTAATTATCTGACTAAACATCCATCACCTGTCTAGCTCCACAGGTTCACTGAAGGTTTAAAACTATAACTAAGAAATTAGTGAAGTTTTGTATAGATAAACCCAGGCAATATTTTCTCTTCTATAATAAATCGTGAGTTCCCTTTTAGTGTGACCTTTGGTTAATTGTTTTACAACCACCTTGGAATGTGCTCTGAGCAGGAGGTAGTCTTGTTACTATCTAAGGGCTGTTAACTGATGACACTTGGGAGACTGGCAGAGTTCTCATAGCAGTTTTGACTATCAGAAAGGGACTTAATAGCAGTCCCACTATAAAATAGCTTAATAATCATTGATATAATTTTAGGAATTCTTATAGGATCATCATTAAGACTTAAGAAGTCGCCTATTTGTCTATATAGTAATTCTACAGGACAGTACATCTTCGTGGGTCTGCAGAGATCTGCTCCAAAGGGGAGTGCTATTGCTTAGTGATTGTTATATATGTTTAACAATAATAATAATAATAATAATAATAATAATAATAAGAAGAAGAAGAAGAAGAAGAAGAAGAAGAAGAAGAAGAAGAAAAGCATATTAATAGCAGGATCTTTCCTAAAATATGTCCAGCATAGCCTTGCTGATGTGGCACACTTGTCGCAGATAATAATCCAAGGCAAGCATTTCAGGATGATCAACTGCTAATTATTAGCTTGTCCTATTATGGCTCCTGACTCCAGCCAGTGTAGCCAGATGTTGATCAGTAAGAAACACTTTTTTTTTTTTTTTTTTTGGTTTTTCAAGACAGGGTTTCTCTGTGTAGTCCTGGCTGTCCTGGAACTCACTCTGTAGACCAGGCTGGCCTCGAACTCAGAAATTCGCCTGCCTCTGCCTCCCAAGTGCTGGGATTAAAGGCGTGTGCCACCACTGCCTGGCAAAGAAACACTTTCAAAGCACAAAAGGGTGTGCAGTTATTGAGGAAGACACCTGGAGACAGCTAAGCTCGTCTCTACCCCAAACACACTCCTGTACCCTTGACCATGATTCCTCTTTAATGCCACAATGCTTCTGATTATGATGTTTTCCCTTGCAACTATTTCTTCTTTTCTTCTTTTGATAAACAGTTCAGATTATCCGTCTGTACCTCCTATGGGGAAATCTCCTGTAGCTTTTGATTTTGATTGGTATATTACATTTATTAGCTGAATTTAATTGTAGATGTCCATAAATTTCTATCATGATCCAGTTGTTTCTCTCCAGAAAAATATCTAGGCAATTGAACATTGCATTTATTTATTTTAAGTCCTTTTAAAATAAATATATGTAGGGGCTGGAGAGGTAGTTGTTTGCAGAGTACCTGTGTGTGGAAGTCAGGAAGTGCATGCTGACAGGAGCCTGATATAGCTGTCTCCTTAGAGGTCTGCAAGAGTCTGACATATTCAGAGGCAGATGCTCACAGCTAGCCATTGAACTGATCATGGGGTTCCCAATGGAGGAGTTAGAGTGAAGACTGAAGGAGTTGAAAGGGTTTGCGACCCCATGAGGAGAGCAACAATACCAACCAACCAGAGCTCCCAGGGTCTAAACCACCAGTCTGGGAGCACTTAGGGAGGGACCCATGGCTCCAGCTGTATATGCAAGGGAGGATGTCCTGTCAGGTATAGGTGGGAGAGGAGATCCTTGGTCCCATGAAGGCTGGACACTGTGTGGGGGAATTCGAGAGTGGGTAGGTGGGAGTTGGGGTGGGTAGGTGGGGGCACATTCTCATAGAAGCAGGAGGAGGGGCGATGGGATAGGGGGCTCCTGGGGGGGGGAGAGATGGGGTAAGGGGAGAACATCTGAAATGTAAATAAAATATCTAATAAAAATTTAAAAAGACAAAAAACAAACAAAAAAACCCTATTTTAATAAGGGCTCTTAAACACTTCAACCTCAACTTTTGGCCCATCTACCAGGGGTAGGGGAAAGAAAGATTAGTAGGAAATGGGGGATGTAGACCTGTTTAGAAGTAGTTCTTTGGGGCAATTACAGTCTTCATTGTCAGGATATCAGCAGCCCAGTCCAAAACACCTACCGTGACGCAGTAGCAGTGGCTTGATCCAGAAGAAACTGAGGCTCTGCTGAGTGGCTTGAGTCCACAAGCAGCAAGAAGCAGCTGGGACACCACGGAAGTCCTGGGGCTCGTGTCTACACTGGCCTAGAGTGGAGGAAATATTTGAGTTGAGAGTAATAGAGAGTTGGAAAAGTAGGTGGTGGTCACATCTAGGGAAATGTTTAATACTAAATTAAGATTGGTTTTTGCTTTTTGATTGTCCACTATTCTCACTGATTGACCTATTTCTTTTTTTCACTATGAAAACATAGAAAGTTTTAAGTGTTTTTTACTGTTTTCCACTGAGAAGAACAGGACAAGGGGCCAGGTGAAAGAGTTTAGTGACCTTTAGTGATAATGCAGTACTCATACTGGTGTTGTAACTGAAAGAGAGGTTTTCCAAGTAGCACTAACTGGAGATTTTAATAGGTACAGATGCATTTTGACTGGGGAAACTTAATTCATTACTTTCAAAAGAACTTGGGGTGATTTTCTTCTGGGAGTTACAGTAAAGATATTATGGTAAAAGTTGTTGAAGACTCATATTTAAGAACTCACTTCCTTTTTCCACATTAGTATCATCAGAAAATAAGAAGTGGATATCCAATGAAGCTTCTACTGGAAGTGGCACAGCACAGCATTGGTCAGTACAAGAACACTATAGAATGTACTCACCGATAATATACCAAGCCCTCTGTGAGCATGTGCAGACTCAAATGTCACTGATGAATACCTTGGCTTCAAAAAATGGCTCCCGTGGAATGCCTGCTGTGTGTCATCCTGTGTCTAATTCAGGTTAGATCCTACCATAGTTTGGAAATGTTGAATGTGAACTATGATTAAATGACTTTGTAATTACATAACACTATAAGGTGTGAATGATGCATCCTTCTTTCTCTCTAACTCCGTAGGCTCTCAGGCAACACCACATCCCTCCACTTCTGTCTGGCCAGCTCGGCAGCCATCGAGCCCTCTAATGGTCCACTCTGTGGGTATATATAGTTTGTTACTAAAGTAATGGCTTCTTTAGAGAAATTGTCATCTTAGCAGTGTACTGAATTTATTGATCAAATATAGTAGGATAGAAAACCAATTTTATAATTTTTGTATTAAAAAGTTTTAACTCTTAAGAACAATAGTGAGAGAGAGAGAAGAAATCATGAGAAAAGAAATCAAGCCCTGACTGTTTTCTTGATATATGCCTTTTATATAGTTAAGCTGAATTTTGTGGATGTTTTTCTCTTAAGACAAATGTTTCTGAGTTGAGCTGTATAATAAAATCACTTGTCTCTGATTTGACATTGAACTAACAGCTAGTTTTATTACTATGACATTCATATATATTTTATATTTGCACAAACATTTTTATTTCTGTGCTCCTAAAAATTGAACCCAGCACCTCATATGCTAGACAAGCACACTACCACTGGCTCCATCTCTAGCTGAATATATTTTTATCAAAGCTCTGTGTGTGTTTTTTAAATAAAATACTTAACTTTGTTTTTATTTGTGTGGGGATTTTGCTTGCATGTATGTCTGTGCACCACATGCATGACAGCATTGGATTCACAGGAACTGGAGTTGTGAGCTGCATGTGGGTGATGCTGGGAACTGAACCCAGATCCTCTGCAAGAGTAACAAGTCTTAACAGATGAGCCGTTGTTCCATCCTCTGAGCATGCTTCTTAAAATGTTTCTCAAAATGAAAATGTTTGTTTGAGTCCAAATGTGGGCTAATTTTTGATGCTTTTAAAGCATCTGTGGTATTTGTAAACAGTCTATTTTCATCATGATCTAATGTTCCCACATTGCAGAGTGATCTGTTTGAGCTCTGAAAAACTAGTCTTTGCTGTGCAGTGAAGAAGTCCAGCTTGTTTGTAAGCTGAAAATACCCAAAATTGGTCTGTAATGGTAGAAAATTATGTTGTAATATTAATTCATTTATGTTTTTATAGTCTTACCAATATGTGTTCATACTTTTGAAGGCTTACTTTTTTTTTCTTGCTTTAGGAAGTTCAGACTGATGATGATAACCAGTTTGAATCACAGGCTCAAACAACCTCTATGAAGCATTGTGATGTTTCCAGGAATCCATCTAGTGTCTATCCTGGAGTTGCACGTGGCCTTCCCCACACTGACAGTACAGCCATTTCAAAGACTCAGCAGCTGAATCTTGCGAATTGGATTCTGCCCCAACAAAGAGCTCCTAAGGATACAGAACTACTAACGTGTTTCCCAACACATCTGTCTCTGTTTCCAGCTCATGGGAAGGACGCTGTCTCGGACAGTCAGGCAAACCAAAGTCCTTCTCAATTACAGCCAGCCTTCTTGGCCACTAATGAAGAAAAATGTGCCAAAGAACAAACTGGAGAGGCCACAAATGAAGGAAAGCATTTAAGCATACATGTGCAAGATGCAAAAATAGCCAAGAATGTGCAGCAGGCAGAAAATGTGAGCCAGACTGCTGAAAAAGTCAGAATTGCCAAGTGCCTGTTGGGAGAGCTCAAGGCCCTGATCGCAGAACAAGGTAGATGAGCATTCGTGGTTTTCTGTAGTCTGTGATGCTTGCTAGCACTGTCGTGTTTTCTAAATGTCATTCAGATGATGGTGATGGAGCACGGGGTTCTGGTGTTTTTCACAGAGCTGTATCTTGACCCAATAAGGAAAAGAGTTCGGTTTGTTGTCTTACGTTTCAGGGTTTTTGTTTGTTTCTTGAAGCAGGGCTTCATGTAGTCTAGGATAGCTTCCAGCTTGCTCTGCTGCTGCTGCTGCTGCTGCTGCTGCTGCTGCTGCTGCTGCTGCTGCTGCTGCTGCTGCTGGATTCCTAGTCTTCCTCCCTAGATGACTTTTTTATGTAACAAAGCTGTCAGTTTACTTCTATCACTTAACAACTAGCTGTTACATTGTTCAACAGATTCCACTCTGTGTAACAGCCCAAGCCTCTTCTTAGCTTCTTAGTTTATAGTTAGTATTTTTTTCTTAAATCAAGGAAAAAGGTCTTTGAGCCAAGTTGTTGTTTTGTTTTGTGTGTGTGTGTGTGTGTGTGTGTGTGTATTATTTTTAAAGTAGTGGCATTTGCTTGGAATGAATTACAAATATGTCATGTTAGAAAACATAGTAATTGATTGTGAAACTAATAGAATAGCTGCCATTTATAGGCTGACACATACACAGACTTCTAAAATCCTTGGAAATACAGCACAGTTAAGCCATAGGTTAAGTTATAAAAATTGATGTTTTAAGATCTTCAAATTAGACAGTTTTTATTTGGTTTGTTTTTGTTTATTTTATTTTATTTTATTTTATTTTATTTTATTTTATTTTATTTTATTTTATTTTTTGAGATAGGGACTCACTCTATAGCTCTGGCTACTGCTACCCTGGAACTTGCTTTGTAGATCAGGCTGGACTTGAACTCACAGAAAGCAACTTACCTCTATCTCTATCTCCCAAGTATTGGGATTAAAGGCATGCACCACCACACCTGGCTGTTTCTTTTCTTTTAACTAAATCTTTAATCATGGCAGCAGCAGTGGCAGCAATGGTACCAGTGTCAGGTGTCCTGAGTGCTCATTTGGCCCAGCACTGTGCTGTGCTCTCACGAGTGACCTCTCTTGAGACTCACAGCACTCTTACAATTGCCTCCATCTCAGGTAAGGAAAGCGAGGTTTAGATAATAGTATCTCATTCTATCTCGGCAACCCAAGGAGATACCTTTGTCTAGTTCTATTTAGCTATGAAGAAACCTAAAAAAATCTCTTAGAAAGGAGGGAGGACTAATGTCAAGATATACCGTGCAGGATAGTGACTGATTATAGTAAATAGCAGTATAGCTTTCTTATCGCTGAGGCTAGGTTTCCAGCCCTCTCACCACAAAAAAATGAATATATGAGGCAATGTGTGTCCATTCATTCATTTTAGCTATTGTACTGTCCATACATAATTCAAAACATTTTAGACACAATAAGTTATGCGATCTTTATGTGGTTTGACTCATGTCAACATTCTAAAAACTGTTTGAGCCAGCTCTCTGCTTTTGGAACCATGAGCAGAAGCGCTCTATAGAGAGAGGACCACGCAGTGGCTGGATGTAGTTGTTCACTATGTGCATGCACTTTTCATCAGTGTTCAAATACCATGGAAGCGAATACACCGGAATATACTTGATTATACTCCCGTGCTTTGATGGGATGAAGAGGACAATAAAAGATGGAATACGTACTTGCTTCTTACATGTGTTGACAACTTCCAGTCATAGCTGCTCTCCACAGTTAGTAACAAAAGATACAGGTTGGGTGGGTCATTAGTTGTATTTTATAAAGTTAAATAATAAAATCATATCTTAGAAAATCCACATTCAATATTTTGCCAAATGAATCACCTAAAATGAACTATATTTTTTGTTTTTGTTTTTCAAGACATGGTTCCTCTGTGTAGCCCTGGCTGACCTAGAACTCACACTTTAGACCAGATTGGCCTCGAACTCAGAGATGCCCCTGCTTGCTTGAGTTCTGGGATTAAAAGCGTGTGCCACCATCAAGTGGTGATAAACTTATTTTTAAATGCAGGATCAGAGTACTTCTGGTGTTTATAGGAAACGTGCACAGCAATCATTTGATCAATACCAACTAGGAGACATGCGTACATCTGGTTCCTATGTCACTTAACTAAGAAAAAATCACTAAATATAATAGTTTTGTGGTTTAAAATTAATCTTTCTTTACTCAGTTTAACAATTCCTTAGAATTGTTCTGCATAAGTAAATACAGACAGCAAGATAAAGAAAAATTAAATTTGTATAATAATCATAAGTAATGAAGTTGAAATCTATAAGTATGTATTATCTATAAAGATTTTTAGTAATATATGCCAGTAATCTTGTCAATTTACAATACTGATTTTGCTCAGTTGCCTTTTATAGAGGACTCAGAAGTTGAAAGATTGGTGACAGAAATAGAGGCGAGCATATCTGGATTTTCAGCACTGAGTGGCCACACAAATGTGGAAGTTGAAATAGCCATGGCCCTGCAGCCACTGAGAAGTGAGAACACGCAGCTGCGGAGGTAAGACTTGCTCTGTGGATGTTTTCATCTTTAGGTAAAGGTGCTCCACAGCCAGAGCCCAGATGCCAAGGAGACAGATCTCAGTCTCCCAGTATTGATGTCTTCCCGTTCTCGTTTTCTGAAGATTTCACATTCTTCAACTTTTCTATTACTTCTGCCCACTAGGATGTATGTTCTCCCACCTGTTTTATGTGTGTTGTCATCTGTTAGCATGTACATCAGAAGATGGGCCTGCCTCAGGTAGTTACTGTTTCAGTATGTTTTCCAGGGAGTGATGAGCAGGGAGTGTGAATGTAATCATCTTACATGTTTTGGACCAGAAGTCATTTTGTGATCTAAAACCTAAAACAAGTCAATGCTCCCACCTGATACAGAGGCCTGGAGCATGGCATCAGGAGGAGGCTCCTGTGAGGGAGCCCTTAGACGTAGGACAACTTTTATGTAAATTCCTACATTTCTTTTTAGTCATATTAACTTGCTGGAGTTATGTTCTTAACTTAAGAAAGCTTGAAAGCAGTGAGGTAAATCTTGAGATGTAAGGAAATCCCCCATCTATTATCAGTTCTGTTATCAGTATTGTTTTAATGTTGAGTGTTTCTGTGATGACCACTGAAGTGTACCATCCAAGGTCTGTCGATGGACTTCACGCTGGAGTTCATTTTCAGGTGCTTCTCAGCTCTGCACTGTAATGTGCCCTGACAGTGTTATTGTGAGCACAGATGGGACTTGCAGGGACACACACACATTTTTCAAGAAACTTGAAAACAGTAAAGAAGAATTCCTAGTTGGAAAGTAGTTTAAATTTATGGGTCTGTAGCCTACAGAGAAGACATCTGGTGAGACGTGTTTAGGATCAAGAGATCTTGTTTGTAGAGTTGTGGGCTTAAGTTTGACTCATACTGTCATCAGTTCTCATCTGAGGGGTTCCTGTAACAGTATTGATTGTCCAAGAACTAAAGTCAAGAGTAAGTAACAGTAAGTGAGCAGCAGCCGCTCCTCGAGGCTACTGCACAGTGCAGCACTTAAATCCTCCATCTTCATGTGGGGAGGAGGAAACCAAGGCACAGAAACATTTTCTGATTTGCTCAGAGTTGTATATTTAGGAGTTGAGGGAGTCAAGACTTAACTCCAAGGTGATTTGGTTTTAGAGCCCCAAATCTTAGCTGCGGGCTTCTACAGGAACACTACGAAGAAGAAGAGAGTTAAGGATCACGCTTCAGTTGTATTTGCAGCCTGTTATTTAAAGGAATAATAATCAAATAGTTGGTGTGTTACTCATACTAGAACCTAGTCTAAGACTATTATCATCTTAACTTGGCCAGCATGGAGATCCCAGTGGTTCTTGTTTCCGTATCTCAGAACATTCTAGAACTGCTGTAAGAGTTCCTTCATAAGCCATTTGTGGAAAGGAGGCTTGCTCTTTAATTTGTCACTAGTTTTTAATTTTTCTAAGGGCATTAACTTAATTGCTATCCACTTTTTGGAATTGACAGTAGAGCTTTTTAGCTGTCTGTCCTTAGGGAGAAAAGATTGTATAACAGTCTGTCGCCACTGTTATTTACTTGACCTTTTAAAGGATAAAAATTACTGAAAAATGAAGAATTTGTTAGATATTTTCCTTTGAATAGAATGGGGCTTCCAGTAGCATCTTGGGAATTTTGTGCTATTTTTTAATCTTTATTTGGAAAGAATCATTCATAAAGTTCACTATAAATAAAAACCAGAATGTGTAGTCTTACTTAGAAGTGATTTTCATTTTTGTTCTTTGTAGACATTTGTAAACTACATGTTTTTAAACTAGAAACTGATCCTTTCCCGCCTCACCCAGCCCCCACACAGCTTGAAGTTTATTGCCATCTTGTGGCAAAAAGGAAAACTACTAGGTGCATGGCTTCTAGTGTACTTTGGGCATTTTGAAATGTCTGTTACTTATATAATACTTGAAACACAGGTGTCTGCCTGTTCCCAACCCATAGGATATCTTTAATCTGTAATGCCTTGTTGAATTTAACTATAAGAAGCCCATAGTATGTCCCAAAATATCCTGGATGGTGGTTCAGAATAGAGTATTATTTCGTAGTAAGAATCAGCAGTCTAGAGAGTGTCTTAATATGTATTAGATAGCTTAGAATTTATAACCACTTCCTGATTTCAGATTCAAATATAAAAAGTAGAGGCCAGACAGCACAACAGTTTGTGAGCAAATGCACACAGTTGTGGATTCTATTAAGGTGTTTGTCTTGTCTTTTTGACAGATAGTAGAATAGTTGTACCTCCTAGAGAAGAGATTTTTTTTGCTTGTCCTCTCCCACACTTTATTTTGTAGTTAGGAGAGATGGTAGAAGAGCCAGAGAGTTAAAATTTGGATTTACTCTGTTGTCTAGAAGTCTAGAACGTAAGAACAAGATCCAAGCTAGATGTGTAGATTTGGGATTTTGAATACATTTTTACAGAGCTTTTACTATGGATCTGTCCTTGGAGACACTGGAGAAGGTGGCAGCTAAATACAAGTCATTTGTTATTAGAATAGAAGTGTGGAACATAAACCCGGTACAAGGAAGAACTAAAGGAAAACCATGCTCCTGAGGAGGAGTGATAAGGGACGTAGCAGGGGAGCTAAGGTACAGGCCACAGACAGAAAAGATGAGCGGCAAGACTGTGTGTGTGTGGGACAAACAAATGCTTACCAAGGACAGAGATGGGTGAAGAAAGTCACCCTCCCCAGGGCAATGCTCCATAGTCTCTAGTAGGAGCAAGGGAACAAGGAAGAGGACAGGGAGAGGAAAAGTGAGCTGGGTAGGCTCGGAAGATTGAAAGAGAAACAGCAATGACAGCCCCACTAGAAACACACAAGACCATTAACCAACAGGCAGGTGTGAAGTCAAGAGTATTGCAGGCCACGTGAACTTTGGTCATGTGAAGAGTGAGTTGCTATATTGGTTTGAGGCTTTTGTTTTCTTCTTTCCATTTTAGTTATTACTGAATTAATTGTTCAACATCTTCTGGCCTTATTTTTGTTTTCCAAACACTTTACATTTTGTGTCCTAAAGTCATCCCCCTCCCCTTGGTGTGTGTGTGGTGGGTGGCTCTGGGGTGATTCTGGGGGGTAAAGTAGAGGATGATAGGGAGTGATACCCAACGGGAGCCTTTGGCTTTAACACATATACTCATGCTCTAGGTGCACAGGTGCATGCATTAACCTCCATACATGTGAACATGTCCATCACACACACACAAAGTACAGTCTTTTGAACAGTACTAAAAATGAATCTCAGCCATTACGTCATACCATATACAAGAATTAACAGTACATCTCAGTATACCAAAGCTGGTGGAGGTAGCATAGGGAGAGTCCTAATGCACTGGGCAAGATTTTTTTTAAATATAATTCCAAAATTTAAATTAGAAGAAGTAAATACATTGAGATCCAAAATTTTAAATTTTTGTTTTTCAAAAGCTACTACTATTAACCCAAAATGAAGAGGCAATGAACATACTGAGAAAAAATGTGTGCCAAATGTATTTTACAAAGAACTTATGTCTGTTGATATAAAGAACTATCACAACTCTATGTTGTAACTCTACGTTTAGTGTTGTTTTACAAATGGGTAAAATATTTGAGGAGAAACCTTACTATAGAACACATAGAGCCAGGCATGGTAATGCACCTGCACTTGGAAGGTGGAGTAAAGCTAGTCCTAAATTCAGGTCTAAAGAAGCAAATCAACAGATCACGCCTGGGGTTGAGGATATGACCGAGCAGTAGATCACTTGCACGTGTGAAGCCTGGGGTTCTGATCAGTGGACATCAGAGAAGAACAGGGAAAGATAGTTGTTATCATTAGCCAATAAGAACCTGCAAATTAAGAGCACAATGGCATAAATACCATGGCATACTCACTGGAGTAGCAGCAATCAAACCCCCCACCTGTGTTAGTGGTGTTTGTGAGCATGTGGAGGAGCGCCGTCTTAGCTGGCTGGGATGTAGGATGGTAAGGGCACATTGGAAATCAAACTTCCTTTGTTAGTTTCTAAGAAATTACACATACATCTGTCATTTGATCTAGCTAGCTCATTCCTCAGCATTTTCTCAGAATGAAAGCACATGTCCCCATAAAATTTACAGAGTTCAAAGGAAACAACTTAAGTGTCTGTTGACGGGTATTTATAGTACTGGTCAGCAACAGAAAAGAAGGAATTGTCAATGCATGCTACAGAATGGATGAGCCTCAGAATCATTGTGCTGGCTGGAGGAAGCCAGGATGTCAGACTATACATTTCAGGATTCCACTTCTGTAAAATTCTAGAAAATGAAAACAGTCTGAACTGTGGGGAGTGGTTGTCTGTCCAGGAAAGGAGGAGTATGAAAATGGCCTGAGGAAACTCAGATGCTGTGGCTCTTACTGTGGTGAGAGTCTGATCACACCATGTGAGAAAATGGGTAGACATTTGCACTTTAAGTATATGTAGATTAGTGTACATATGCTTTACCTTCGTACAGTTACATGATAGTAAACTAATTAAAGAATATTTGCCTAAATATCAGCTGTTTTTATCTTTTGTTAAAATCAAATATATTTAAACTGAATGCATTTAAAATAATATAGATGATATCCATTTCTGAGAGATCATTTTTGCTATTTTTAGTATTTATTATAAAACAGCAGAAATGTAAAAGCAGGGAATAAAGAAGGGGTATCTACTGGTGCAATTATGAAGAAGTGTTATAACTGTGGGAGGAGTTTCAGTGTGCTCCTCAGCTGAGACACGGGAGCCAGCAAAAGAGATGAAGTAAAGCTGCAGACTCAGAACTGAGAGTCCTTTAGGGGAAAGTGGGGTTCTGGGAACATGTTAATAAGGACACACCCAAGTAAATTGGTGGACTCACAGTTTCTCTCCATGCCACATTTTAAGGGGGGAGGGAGAAGTGAGGGGGGAGATAAAGACAGAGACAGAGAGACAGAGAGACAGAGACAGAGAGAGAGAGAGAGAGAGAGAGAGAGAGAGAGAGAGAGAGAGAGAATATGCACATGCATATTCATGTGGAAGCAACACAAAGATGTTGCTGTTGAATGCCTTCCCCTGTGGCTTTTCATCTTATTCCCTGAAGACAGGACCTCAGACTGAACCAGAAGATTGTTGTTTGTCTAGACTAGCTGGCTAGTGAGCTCCCAGGATCCTCCTGTCTCTACCTCCAAGTGTTGGGGTTAAGGTCATCCATAGTCATACCCAACTTTTTTGTATGGTAGGGTTCAAAATCAGGTCCACATGCTTACCCAGCAAGCTCTGTCACCCAGAGAACCATCTCCCCAGGCCCTCCACTGTGTTATTTTTTTAAGGGTAAGTGTGTAAGTATCACACTTAGAAGACAGAGTGGGGGTGGGAGGCTTGTACTGATAAAAGGGTCAGGTTGACTAATGTTTCAAAGGAGATGAGTCTGAAGAGCAGCATACTAAAAGATTTTTAAAATGATCATTTTCTCATATAAGGTAGTTGCTGTTTTTCTGGAAGATACCAGAAGAGGCATTCTGTTTTATAATCTGGGTCATCACTCTGTGCTGCCTCTTCTGGATCTGCATGTTTTGTCATTGAGGGAAAAAAACCCTTTAGAAAATCAGAGTTCTGTCTTCAGCTCATTCTTTTTTACTTTATGTGTGTCTTAGAGATTTTTTTTTTCCAGTAGTGGATATTGAACCAAAGGCCTTGCACATGCCACATGAGTGCCCTCTCACTGAGCTATCCCCCAAGTCTTTTTTTGGTGATATATATATATATATATATATATATATATATATATATATATATATATATATGGATATCTTATTCATTTTAATATGCTTATGTTTAGTATTTCATCACATGGATAAATCATAACTTGTATTGGCATCTAAGTTATTTCCAGTTTCTTGTCAAATATTACAATGTACATTATATGTGTGTGTGTATACATACATATGTACATACATACATATAAAATGTTCTATATACTTTCCCATATGTATATTTATTTCTGAGTAAATAGCCTAAGGTAAAACTAGCTTGTCCAGGAAATGGATGGAGAAATCGCTCAGTCATTAAGAATATTTGCTATCTTTGCAAAAGACTCTGGTTTGGTACCCAGCACCCACATGACAGTGCATATCCATCGGTAACTCCAGCTCTAGGGGCCTGACACCCTCCTTTGTCCTCACTGGCACCAGGCACCCATGTGGTACACAGACCTGCAGGCAAAACACCCATACACATAAAATAGAAATTAAATTTAAAAACTATCTTGTCAAAGATGATACATAGTTTATAGCTTGGGTATTGCCAGGCTGTCATCCACATGGTTACAGCAGACTCCCACTGACTGAGAAACTGTCCCTAATGAAGAGCATTGCCTTTTATTTTATATTTTTGTATATTTGTGTGTGTGTTATACGTAAATGTGTATGAGCACATGTGGAAGCTAGTGGCCAGTGTCATGCCACTACACCAGCTTCTCATGTGAGCACTAGGAATCCAAACCTGGGCCCTCTACTTCCTGTGGTAAGCCATCCCAGTCTCAAGCTAAGCATATTTTAAATGCTTATAAATCATTTAGCTTTCTTAGAGGAATTGCTTATTATATCTTTTTCCAGGCCTTCAATTCTAAAACAAGGTTCAAATTGTGATGTGTTTAAATGTTATATTCTTTATTTGATAGTTGTTGAATTTTGAGTTCTCCTTAGGGATTTCTTTCATAGTTAAAAGATTATTTATATTTCCTCATAAAACTTGTGTTGTTGCATTTACGTTTTGTTGGTATATTTTATATTCCTAACTCTTTAATCTATCCAGAAATAATACTTGTGAATGGTGTTTGGCAAGATTTATCATTTTAGATTAAATTACTAAATCAAATATGTTAGTATAGAAAGTTTTCAATTATGGAAAGATACTAAATGCCAGGAGTTTTGTTTTGCCCTAATCAGTACCTACTTACATATTCTTGTTTGTGAAGTGGGTGCACATTGTAAAGACGGGGTTCATACTGACATTCCCATGAAGCTACTAACTTGTCCATCTAATAGTGAAATTACTAGAAGCACAGATTTATGTCTCCCAACTTTGTTAATGAATCACAAACATGAAATAGAAATATATCTATCTAGTAGTAGGCACCCACAGGCATTCTAGTTGACAGAAATGGCAGTTATTTTAAAGAGTAAACTACAGTAGTAAGGTTATTGTATAAATAGACACACACACACACACACACACACATGATTTTGAAAGTGGAGATGTGAAGATAAAGAAATGGAAAACAAAGAAAATGTGTATATGGTGGTGCATGAGTATTGACCCAGCACTTAAGAGGGTAAGGTAAGAGAATCCAAAGTTCCAGCCACTGTGAGCTGCCATACTGAGTTAATCCAGGCCAATCTTGGAAATAGTGGGCCACAGTTCATGCACCTATCTGTCCTGGACCTGGTAGTGCAGACCTGTAGTCCCAGCTACTCAAAAGAGACCAAGGCAGAAAGATTACAAATTCAAAGCTAGTCCTTTAATCCCAGTACTTAGGAGGTAGGGTCAAGTGGGTCTCTGTGAGTTTGAGGCCAGCCTAGTCTACAGAGATAGTTCTGGGACAGGCAGAGATCTACAGAGAAACCGTTTCTCCAAACAAACAAATAGATCTATGGATATAAAGGCATTTGTTATGGGGTAGAAGTGTGCTTAGCTCAAAATGTGCCCCTGACAACAGTATGATTTTGTGGTTTCATTTATTTAGATTTTGTGTTTGGTTTGGGGTTTGAGATGGACTGATGACTATAGAGTTATCTTTTTTGATAGATTTTTTGATACCCTATCAAAAAATATGATATATCAAAATATCTGATGTATACCATCAGATGGGCTTAGGATCCTTACCCATCTTTATTACTTTCTTTAGGCAACTGAGAATTTTGAATCAGCACCTCCGAGAACAAGAGAAAACTGAAAAGGCACCTGGTAACCTTGAATGTAGGTGAAAAAACTTGAAGTCTTTGTTACTCTGGAAATGTTGGTGCAAACTTGTGCTTTATCTAAGTGGAGTGTCTCCCTGTATCAACTTTTTAAAATTAGGAGTTACTGTGTTGTAATTTAAAACAGTTGTTGGGTATGTTTGTAATCTCAGTATTTGTGAAGTAGGAGGATTGCCACAAGTTTTAGGCCAGTACCACTTCAGCCAGAACTGTATGTAGTAAGACCCTGTCTTGAGAAACCAAATGCTCCGGTCCGCGGGTCAGGGTCTAGCAAGAGAGAGATGGAGAGAGAGATGGAGGGGCGAGAGACTTGAAGAATGGAGACAAGACAAAGAGTCTGATCAAGTCTCTCTTATTGAAAGGAAATCCTGGGTATTTATACCCTTTTCCACGTGCCTTGCCCTTGTGGACAAGCAGGGGAACACAGCTGAAGACACTTTACCACGTGCACCTTGCAGCTGGCGGCACTAAACAACAAAACAAGATATGTGAGAAAAACAAGATGTTTATCAGAGTGTGCTCAGCTGTTGTGGGCTGTTGAAAACAAGTCTCTTGTCAGGGTATATGGCCTGAGATGGCTGCAAAGATGATAGCCGCTTTCTGCTAGGAGTCGGCTCCCAACAACCAAGGTAATAAATATGCAGATATCTTAAATAGCCATGTAAGTATCTGCTTGTTTTCTCTACTATATTTACGATCCTCTGAAGATACTTGGGTCCTTTCACCCTTTCCTACAATGTGAACAGCAATGAAATGAAAATCTTTGTGCCGGTGTCTTTGTGCACATGCATCCGGGTTTTGCAGGATGGAATTCTAATAGAAGTACTGAGCCAGAGTGCAGCGTAGGTAGTTATTTTAGCAGAGATTGTCAAATGACCCTTTTTTTTTCTGCTGTGTGTTTTTGTTTTTTAAATGGGAGTCTTACTGTGTTGCTCAGGCTGCCCTTGGACTTGGAAGCTCAAATGGTCTTCCCTCCTTACCTCAGTTGCTGCAGCCACAGGTGAATATCAGATCATCTTTATAGATCACCGAGCTTCATGGAGAAAAGCAAGAGTTTAAGAACAGATGAGAACTCCTTTCAGTATTCTCAGAGGTTTTTTCTAGAGTCTAATGTAAATGTGATATAAAGAAGTATATTGGTACCCTAGAATGTTTTTCAATTTCAGAATGATAAAATATATTCAGACAGTATGGACAAAATAGGGAAAAGTTTTTAGTAATACATAAGGCATATTTCTTTTAATGAATAACTACCACTTACAAAGTGGGAAAAAAAATTTGAGAAACCAACAGAGCAAACACTTCACAAAGTGCTTAATTTCAGCAGAGTAGTTTGTGGTGGTTCATTCTGGTTTTGCTGTTAGCAAAAGGTATGGGTGAGAAGAAGGCCAGAGAGGAGGCCATAAAGGAGATGGGAAGATTGGAGGTTGCCTCTCTAAGCTTATTCTTTGTATTCTCTTAATACAAGGTCCTTAGTGTGCTTTCTTGGAGACTATTTATTACTGTTTACAATAATTTGTTTACTGACAGTTCCATGAGGGACCTTGAGGTCTGTCTTGTTCACTGCTGCATATCCAGATTCTAATAGTGATTCATACACAGTAAGCAGTCACTTAAGACTGCGTTAGCCAATCAAAATGGTGCCCTGTGCCTTTATGTCATTTAATTTACTCTTTGAGAATTTTATACATACACACAGTGCCTTTTCATCATACCCTCCTCCCATGCTGCACTCTGACTCCCCCAGCAGGCACCCAGCATAGCCCCTGCCCAGCTTCCTGCCCTCTTTCTTTCTTCTTTTTTTCTTTTCTGAGACAGGGTTTCTCTGTGTAGCCCTGGCTGTCCTGGAACTCACTCTGTAGCCCAGGCTTGCCTCGAACTCAGAAATCCGCCTGCCTCTGCCTCCCAAGTGCTGGGATTAAAGGCGTGCGCCACCACTGCCCAGCTGCCCTTTTTCTTTTTTAAACACACTGAGTTCAGTTGTGTTGTTCCCAAGTACATGGGAGTATGGCCTTCCATTGGAGCATGGACAACCTACCAGTGATATCCCCCCAAAAATGACTGATCCCTCATGATCCTTCAACTGCAAATAACTCTTCCATTGGGGGTAGGGAGTAGAATTTTGACTGGTTTGATCTTGTGCGGGTCACCATAGCTCCTGCGAGTTTGAGTGGAATGGCCAGGTTATGTCCAGAAGACAGCATTGGGCACTCCACCCCATCCTCTAGCTCTTCCATCGCCTGTGCCCAGAGCCTGGGGAGGGCTTTAACATAGATGTCCCGTTTGTGGCCTAGCACTCACGCCAGTCAGGAGTCTATATCAGATGCTTCCCACTGTAAAAACAACCTTCTCTGACCAAGACTGAGAACAGCACAAATCTATAAGTGCAAACATAAGTATTTAAAGGATAGTTTGATAGCGTAACCATTTAGCCAAACAACAGCGAGTCCCCTAGAGCCCATGGCATCTCCAGTCATAAGGTTTACACTATGAATTCCCTCCTGTACAGCAGGCCTCAGATCCATTCAGAAAGTTTGCCACTATTTAGTGGGCACGTCTTGCCTGGCAGGTCAGTATTGTAGCATGCTGGGTCTTCTAGATACAAAGATTTGTCTCCTCTCCTACCTACCCAGTGTGCAGCCTGCATAGCTCCTTCCTGCACTATGAAACCTAAGTAGGAAGGTTCCTGGTCAGCTCCAGATTGATTTCTCTACATTTTGAAACCAAAGTGTCTTCAGCAGTAGGCTCTTACTATTGTTTATGGTAGACAACCAAAAGCAATGGCAGAAGTCTCTTGTTGGGGCCTTGAGGGCCTCCTTGACCAGTAACTTACAGGGAGGTATTTCATGCTTTGCACTGAAATTTTCATTTAATAACTTATGTCTTCTGGGAGTACTTTGTCTACCAGTGCAGGCTACCTCTGGTCAAAGTCCTCTTTTAAAAAAATTATATTTTAAAATTTGTTTACATAGTATTGGGTTTCATTGGGTTTCCATGTTTTTACTTTCACTCTTAGTTTTGGGTGGCCCACTCTGACACTCTCCTCTTCCACATAACCCCACCCCTGTCCTGGCTTAAACCCAGAACCCCCAGGATTCTTTCCCTCTTCTTTTTTTTTTACATGTTTACTATCCCTCCCTCTGCTCCTATCCATTCACTTTTCATGGGGACTTCCTGGCTTCCTGAGCACTACAGACCCTGCAAGTTGAGCACAAAATCTAAAATTTGAATCTAGGATCCACATGTGAAGCAGAAGCATGCAGCACTTGCCCCCAGGGCCTGGACGGCCTTATTGATGCAGTATTTTCTAATTCTACTCATTTCCCTGCAAATTTCATTTTTCTTGGTGGCTGAATCGTGTCCCATTGTGTATTTGTACCACAGTTTCATTATCCATACACCAGTTGGTGGACAAGAGCAAGTGTCTCTGTAGGAGAGTGCTGGAATCCTTTGGGTATATCCTCAGACATGGGTCAGTGAGTCTGTTTTTACCTTTTGGAGAGATCTATGCTGATTTCCATAATGAGGGAACCCATTTATACTCCAACAGTGAGTAAATATTTCTAGTTCTCTAAATCCTAGGCTAGCAGTTGCTGTCATTGTTTTCTTGCTGATAGTCATTCTGAGTGGAGTAGTATAGAATCTCAAACTAGTTTAATTTGCATTTCCTTACTGGCTAATGATGTTGAGCACTTTAAAAACCAGTTCTTAGTCATTTGTATTTCTTCTTTTGAGAACTCTGTTTAAGTCCATAGCCTATTTTTTTTATTGGATTGTTAATTTTCTTAGTGTTTATTTTCTTGAATTCTTTGTATATTCTAGATATTAATCCTTTGTTAGAGGTATACCTGACAAAGATTTTCTTCCATACTGTAGGCTGGCTTTTCACTTGATTGACAGTTTCCTTTGCTGTACAGAAACTTTTTAATTTCATAAGTACCCATTTGTCAGTCATTGGCTTCTGACCTACTTTGCTTTCTGATGCTGTCCATGACAAAAACGAGCTTGAGGAAGGAAAGGGTTGATTTGGCTTGTACTTTCCTGTCACAGTTGGTCATTGAGGGAGAGTCAGGGCAGGAACTCAAGGCAGGAACCTAGAGGCAAGAACTGATATAGAGACCATGGAAGAGCTCTCTTCCATGGATTGCTCACCTTCCTTTGTGTTTGTGTGTGTGTGTGTGTGTAAGTGTATAACCCAGGACCATTTTGCCCAGGGATGGCACCTCCCAAAGTAGGCTGGGCCTTCCCACGTCAATCATAAGTCAAGAAAATGCCCATAGGCCAATCTGATGAATATAATTCCTCAATTGAGGTATTTTGTTTTGTTTTGTTTTTTTAATCCTAGATGACTCTGGTTTGTGTCAAGTTTAGAAAAATTTAAAAAATTAAAAAAAAAAAAACCTATCCCACCTTGTTTCCTGAGTGACTATAGCCCCACTCAGAAAGTCCTTCCTTGTTCTAGTATCTTGAGGTATACACCTTACTTTCTCCACTAGCAGCTTTAGGGTTTAGGGCTTTATGTTGAATTCTTTGAATCATTTGGAACCGAGGTTTTGCAGGGTGAGAGATATGGATCTAGTTTTATCCTTCTTGTAAGCAGTTTGACCAGCACCATTTGTTAAAGAGGCGACCTTTTCCAGTGTGTAATGTTGGCAGGTATCTATTGTGGAATGGCTTTGAATATGGGTCTTCTCTTCTATTCTACTGATCTCTGTGTTTGTTTGTGTGCCAGGACCATGTTGGTTTTATTCCTATGCTTTTTAATTTCAAATTAAGTGTGGTGATACCTCCAGCAATATTTTTTTTTCGGGATTGGCTATCTGGAATGTTTTGTACTTCCATATGAATTTTAAAATACATATTTTTTACTATTGTTATAAAGAATGTCATTGGAAGTTTTTAAAAGATTAAGTGTGTGTGGTTTACCTGCATGTATGTATATGTGTGCACCATGTACATGCCTGGTACCCAAAGAGGCCAGAAGAGGGCATTGGATTCCCAGGGATTGGAGGCAGAAACTAAAGTAGAGACCATGGGAAAATGCTCTTATACTTAGGCTACCATTTGGATACTGGCATGATCTTAAAGGCTGAGCCATCTCTCCAGCCCCTAAAATATCTTTTAAGTTGTTGTTTTGTGTGTTGTGTTTGTGTATGTATGTAGACATGCACTTGATATGCATGTGGAAGGCAGAGGAAAACTTGTGAAAACCATTTCCTTTATTTCACCATGTAAGGTCTAAGGACGCAATTCAAGTCATCAGGCTTGGTGGAAGGATTGCCCTTATCTACTGGGCCATCTGGCCTGCTCACAGTGAATATGGATTGCACTGAGTCTGTAAATAGCCTTTGGTAGGATGGCCATTTTTACAACATTGATCCTACCACCTCTTAAGCATGGGAGGTCTTTCCATTTTTAGTGTCTTCCTTAATTTCTTAATTGCATGTTTTAAAGGTTTAGCTATAGAGAGCTTTCACAGCCTGAGTTAGGGTTATTCTGTACTTTGTTTTATTTGGGATTTTTTTTTGTGGCTGTTATAAATGGGATTATGCCCTTGGTTTCTTTTTCAGTGTCTTTGTCATTGGGTGTAAGAAGTCTCCTGGTTGTTTTATATGTTAATCTTGTATTCAGCCACTTCCTGAATGCGTTTTCAATTCGGAGTTTCTGGTAGTGTTTATATCTGTTATATATAGAAGCATAAATAGAGGTACTTTGATGTCTTACTTTCCTATTTGTAGCCCCTGTATTTGCTTCTCTTGTCTAAGACCTCCAATATTGTATTAAATCAAACTGGAGAGAATGGATACCCTTTTCTTGTTCCTTGTTTTTAGTGGAAATTGACCTTTTCCCTATTCAATATGTTGGCTATAGGTTTGTCATACATGGCCTATATTATGCTGAGTGTGATCGGGGAGCTAAGCCAAGAGCGAGGCCCTGGGCAAAGAAACCAGCATGTTTTTACGTTTACATGCAACATGGGATAGTATGATTCTTTGTGTTTAAATATATATTTTATGTAAATCATCATCTACATTAGTATTTTCCAGAAAAGTAACCAAAATTGACATTGATTGCTTCTGGTTAGAGAGCTAGCGTGGAGAAAGGGAGACACATCGTTGAGAAATTTTTAGCATCTTTGGAATTTTTTTGGAATTTGAGATATTTACATTGCGTATGTATTACTCATTTGTTTTAAAAACAATCTATGAATAAAACATCAATTGGAAAAGAAAGATATTACTTCTGCCAGTTACTTTTTAAAATATATGTATTTAAATTTTATATTGTATTGTGCGTGTTACTACTGAGGGAAATCGGTGAACTCGGGCTTTTCTTTTTCTAAAAGAGGTACTTTTTAGGTATTTTTTAAAAATTGGGTAACAACTATTTGATGTGTTTTATCTTACAGTGTTTTCCCTTCAGTCGCTGAATATGTCACTTCAGAATCAGCTGCAAGAGTCACTGAAGAGCCAGGAGTTACTACAGAGTAAAAATGAAGAACTCTTAAAAGTGATAGAAAACCAAAGAGATGAAAACAAACAGTTCATTACTTTATTTAAAGACAAAGAGCAAGCTCTGCTTCACAGTAAACAGCAGTTTGACATTGAGATGACACGGGTGAAGATGGGTGTGTGTCTGACTCTAGCTATAGTCCTTTGGTTTTGGTTTTTGAACAATAAGGAAACTAAGCAGGTTTCATTGTTGTTTGCTTTAGAGTTGGAGGAAGCCTTGGCCAATGAGAAGAACTCTCGGTTTAAGTTAGAGACTGCAGAAAAGGAAAATCAGATTCTGGGGATAACACTCCGCCAACGTGATGCTGAGGTTGCACGACTTAGAGAATTAACCAGGTAGCCTTACTTCCCGTGGGTAAGCCCAGCCTTTAATAGATGCTCCGTAAACTTCAAACCACACAGGCCTTCTTGCTTCCTCCTTTTTTCCTCTTGTTTTGTCTTTTTTTTTTTTTAATTTCTAATCCTTTGTTCTATTTCACTTTAAAAATCTGAGACCTGTTTAAAGGCTGTTTACACCATGAGGTTGTAGATTGTGGGTAACTAATGTCTCCGATGAAGAACTGGATAATCCAGTGTGTGATGAAGTAGTTAAGTTCCCTGGCTCTGACACCAAAGAGACCTGAGTGAACTCTCAGCTGTGCTGCAGGTTAGCTGAGTAATTTTGTCCACATTACTTAACCCCTATAAACCTCAAGTTGTAAAGTTGGGACATGAACAGAGTTGTCAGGGGACCACAGAATGATTCCTGATGTGCACTGATGTGGTCAGTCCTCACTCATACCATGTGGTTTGGGAAGGTCACTTCATTTCATCAGTAAAGTGAGGAATTGGGCCACAGCCCTCCAAAATGTCTTCATTCTTTACTCAGTCTCTTCCCAACTAAATAAACCTATTTTACTTTGTATACTTTTATAGAAACCTTACAAAAAGTCAGTTTTCTTTTGAGACATTTATTATTCATTGGATTTTTGTCTACTTTTAAACATTTCAGAGAAGTTAATGTTTTTAATGTTTTATAAACAGTAGATCTGACTATGCCTTAATGATCCCAGATGCTAATCATTCCAGATCCATTTTTAATTACAGGCTTTTGGGGAAACGGATGTCTATTATATATAAATTATGTGTTATATATAATGTGCATAGTTTTATAAATATGTTTTACAATAATAAGTTAATATAGAAATTCTGCTTTGCTTTAGTAATACCACCTACTTGTATGACTCTTTTTTTTTTAACTCAAAGGCTCAGTTTGCAACATTGCTTGAGAATAAAATATCTCTATACCTTAAGAAAAAAATTATGAGCCTTTACTTTTACATATAATAGTAGATTTGATATAAAGCAAGATCTTTTCTCATTTGTTATTTTACTTTTCTGTTGCCAAAGCCTTCTAACACTAATTTTGACACTTGCCTTTGGTCCTTCCTGTAAAGGACAGAGGCGTATAGTAACGAGTTAAAGGACTGCGTAAAACAATCAGTAATTACTAACTTCTTCTTGCAGAACTTTACAGAACAGCATGGTCAAGCTGCTCTCAGATCTCAGTGTGAACACTGCCCGCTGCAGGATGGGGAATAGCCTAACCAAGTCACTTCTGAATGTCTACGATCAACAGCTTCAACAGGACCCAGCCCCTCCCCACACTTCCATAATGAGCTACCTCAATAAATTAGAAACAAATCACAGCTTTATGCATTCAGAGCTACTTAACAATGAGGAAACCATAGAGCCAGGCAGACTCTGTGAGAATGTGCTGCCCTCACAAAGACCCCCGCACAGTGATGCCAGGGCAGTGGATGGGGACTCTGCATCTGGAAGTGTCTCTACTGCAGTGGAGGATTCTGATACAGATTGTGAAGCCATCACTGTACTAGAAGATGGGTGTAATGTGGACAGTACAGTTTATATTCCCTTTGCAAGAAGCTCTTCTAAAGAGCACTCGCCACTTTGTAAGAGACTATCCCCCCAGCCACACAGAAGTGTGGCTGCCACACAGCTAGTCAGCAGCAGTGCTCATGCCTCTAAAGGAGAAAGCAAACCATGTGCACCTGCAGTGCGTTCCTCACGAAATGAAGCAGAAGATGCACCTGGAAACCTTTCCAGCACATATGACACAGAGGATGTGGAGCTCCTCAGGAAAATCAAAGAAGCCATCGGTAAGATTCCTGCTGCTGCTGAGCGCCCAGAGGAACAGGCCGCACATTGCAGCCCATCAGCTCATCGCAGCCCTGGCATTCCAGTGAAGGGCAATGTTGTCACTGACAGCAGCTTTCTCAATTCTGACTTGATGTCAGACTGGAGCATCTCCTCTTTTTCAACATTCACGTCTCATGATGAACAGGACTTCAGAAATGGCCTGGCCGCATTGGATGCCAATATTGCTAGACTTCAGAAGTCCTTAAAGACTGGCCTTCTGGACAAATGAGTGTGGAAGAAAACTGATTGACTGCTTTTTTTTAAAAGGGTAGAACTTGGCTACATCCACAGTATATTTTGGATTTCCTTAGAGAGAACACTTTATATTTTTAATTATGTATGAAATAACACATGTAGTAAATTTACTGTTAGACTGTTTTAACACTTGAAGCTTACAAAAAAAATTCTCTTAAAAACCAACAGTTGCTGAGAGAAGAAAGTCGTAGATCAGCAAGTATTGAGTGCTTTACCTGACAGCTCCAGCTTCACAGAGAGAATCCTTCACTGTCATACTGCTGGGTCAGTGGTGCAGCTACCGAGGAGTTCTGGCTGTCTGGAAGGAGCGTAGGGAAAGGAGTCAGTACTGTTTAAAGTTCCCTCTCTGCTTTGGAATATTTGTTGTGTGTTTCATGATAGTGTGCTTGTGTATGGGAATACTTTGTGTTACAAGCCAGTGCTGTCGATGACATGAATTAACATTTCAGAGAGAAAAGATGCCGGTGCACTCACCTCATACAAAGCATTGATTTGTCCAGAGAAATACCAATGATTGGTTAATATATGGCCCTTAAATCTTAGGCATTTTATTTACATTTGTCCTGAATGCATGTTTTAAGACCTTTAAAAATAAAGTCAGACTGATAAGGTAATACTAAATATCCAAGTTTTACCTTAGTAATTTTGTTTTTTAGTAAGAATTACTGGGTTTTCCTTAATGTCTCTGGAAATGATGGAGTTTTTCAAATCTCAGCACTGATGGTAATTCTGCCTTTCTGACCCAATTCCCCTCAATCATTTAGCTGAGAACATTGTTCTATAACATGAACTATGCCTCTCTGCTTCCTAATACCAGCCCTTTGTTCTATCTTCCCATATACCCCAAGATGACTTAAGACTTAATATTTTTCTTCGTCAGGCTCCTGAGTGCACACACCAGCAGTTCTTACCCACCTCCTGTCACCTCTTTCTGTGTAAACACAGATTAACTTTTAGACACTAAGTCCTGCCCTATCAGTAACTCTTAGTACATGTTACCTGCCTGGTGTAGTTGAATTTGGTTCTGGGACACCCTTGGCATTCTAGTAGTCTGCTGATTCCAAATTTTCTCCTGCTTCTACAACTTCTGGACTACTTAATATATCCAGACTTTATGGGGAGGGGTCTTTTTTGTTTGTTTTAGGTCTAAATGTATGAAAATGAATTGTAAACTATTTTAAAGACTTATTCATTAACATTTTAAATATACTTACTTCCTGTTTTCATAAATGAATTTGTTTACTTATTTTGAGATATCAGGTCACTGCTCTGCACCATTTAAGTTCAGAAACACAAACTAATATAAAGAAGAAAACTGGGGCATCTTTCTGCTCTCCCATATCAACTATCACTCAAAACCACAAGCAAATCTGGGGCAGTTAGATGGCTCAGCAGGTAAAGGTGCTTGTTGCGTAAGTGTGACAATCCAAGTTCAATCCCCAGAACCATGTGAGGGTAGGAGAGAACCTAACCCCTAGAGTTGTCCTCTGACCTTCATATGTGCACCATGGTAAATCCATGCCCATGAACTTAAATGTATACACTAATGAAAAAATAATCTTAAATAAATTCTTAAGATTTTTTTTTAAATATAGTAATTCTGAAGATATAGGAAGAAATAGTTTCTCTTACTGTATGTTGGCAATGCTTCATTTCTGTGATACCAGGATGCATTTGTGGTTTCACCTCACCAGCAACCAACTGGTTGTATAGAAACACCAATCCAATTCCATTCAGAGACTTTCTCCCTGAAGGTAGAGTCAAACAGGTTATGGTCTCTAAGCCAACAGACTGACACCTGCCTCAGATGTTAGTCACAAGTCCACAACTGACTGACCAGCTATGCATCAGGGTTCTTATGACCCATTAATAGCCTAGATCAGTATGCTGGTTAGTTTTGTCAATTTAACATAAACACTATATGGGAAGAGGGAATTTGTTGGGGTTTTTTTTTTTTTTTAATAGGATTTCTCTGTGTACCCCTGACAGTCCTGGAACTCACTTTGTAGACCAGGCTGGTTTCAAGCTCAAAGATCCACCTATCTCTGCCTCCTGAATGCTAGAATTAAAGGTGTGCACCACCACACCTGGCTAGGAGGAAGGAATCTTAACTGAAAAAATTCCTCCATAAGGTTAGCCTCTATCCAAGTGTGTAGGGTATTGTGTTGGTTAGTGATTGACTGGGAGTACCCAGTGCACTGGGAGCAGTGTCATCCCTGGGCAAGTGGTCTTGGATGTGTAGCCATTTGCAGCCACAAAACAACTGGGTTCACCTGAAAGGGGGGCTGGGAATGAAAGAAGGGACAGAGGGCAAAAAGAGATGAAGCCAAGACAAGGTATTTTGATCAAGGCTCGAAGTTTAATGTTCAGCTCTCAATTTAAAGGGGAAGCCCCACCCCCACCACCGAACCCCTTCTTGCTTCAGCTGGCATGGGTGAGGGGAACCCATCTTTAATCACAACCAGAAGTGTCTCAAGGCAAGCTCAGCAGGCAGTCCTTTTGAGTTCCTTTTGAGTCCTTTTGGTAAGTGCAGCCAAGGTGGGTAATACCACCTGAGTTCTATTGTTTGGTCTACTGTGGTAAACAAGGTCTCTCAGGCCTGCCCAAGGCTGGGGGAAGGGCACAATCCCCCTTTTTAGTTTTAAAGATGGCAGTGTCAGCAGCTGGATGGGGCACAAGATTTTATCTTGTGTAGGGTAGTGAGTGGCCAGGCGAACATGTCTGGCTTAGGTTGGTGTCTACATTGTTCTTAGATTACCCATCATGGAGGAAAACATACATAGCATATTGATGTATGTCTCTGTCTTAGGTTTATAGGAGCTCAAGAACCCTCTTACCCGTCTTTGACTAACCGGCCATCATTGGGCTATTCTGTCCTCTAGGTGTATGGATCTGTTGTTCAGCTTCTGACAAGTCACATAATCTAGCTGCCTAAAAATTGTACCCTGTCATTCACTGAGACTTCTTGGCATGATCATAACTGAAGCATAGACAACCTCCCTGATGTTGTGGCCCTTTAATATAAATCCTCATGTTGTGGTGACCCCAACCATAGAATTATTTTCGTTACTGTTTCATAAATGTAATTTTGCTACTGTTAAAAATCTTAAGTATCCATGTTTTCTGGTGATCTTTAGGGACTCCTATGAAAGGGTCAGTCAACCCCTAAAGGGGTTGCAACCCACAGGTTGAGAACTACTGACATAGGTAAATGGTTGGATGAAAACCATGATCCAATGCTGATGGACCAAGTGGGGGAAGCCCAGCAGGCCTGTTCACATTCTTGCCTTCTGAACAGCATTCCTCCTCTTGGGATTGATGGGCTGAAAGGAGTCTTATGATCCACTACAGAGAAAGTAGGTGAGAATCAAATATAGAGGGAAGACTTCTCATTCTGTGATGCCTTGGGGGATAGTTCCAGTTCTTGTCTGGGGCGAAAAGAAGCAAGGCTTAAAAAGCAACTAAAGCAACACTTCACACAGGAAGCAGGGCAGAGTTGTAAAACCTTCCTTGGTAGAAAAGCATGCAGCCGACTCACAACAAGTATGTTATCAGTGCTCCCTGTGCGGTGATCCTTCAGGGAATGCACAGTAAGGGACTTAACATAAGGTTTCGCTGAAGTCAGAGGCCCATTTCTAAACTTACACACATAAGGCTTTCAGAATCTAAGCAGGTAACCAGGTATATTTGGATTCTATTTCCACAAACATTCCCATAGTTATTCACCTCCATTGATGTCTATTTCAAACTTGCTTAATGTTCTTAGAGCTCAATTTACATATGAAGCCTTCCACTCCCCCACCCCCATTTTAAATTTCAACTTGTAGGGAATTGGGCTTACATTTATCTAATCGGGGCACTGAGGATTGCTCTTCCAGAGGTCCTGAGTTCAATTCCCAGCAACCACATGGTGGCTCACAACCATATATAGATCACAACATCGATACTGTGATTTGATGCCCTCTTCTGGCATGCAAGTGTACATGCAGATAGAGTACTTATACACTTAAAATAACTAAATGAATCTTTTTAGAAATTAAAGCAATTGGCCTGAACTGGGCCTCCCAAAGAACTATCAGATTGTAAGATCTTAGAAATTTCCAAACTTCCGAAGAACTTACAAGTTGAGTTTCAAAAAACTTTAGAAGCCACCTTCATAACTAGAGGGAGTTTCTTCTATAGTAACAGTACTGGAGAGACCTCAAGCACATCCAGTATCCATTTTTCCCAGTGACAAGCTCCTACTGGAACTTACCACACTGCTTGTGTGTGCCTCTGTTGATACATGCCAGTTCACATTCAGCCTTCTGTACCCAGCATACTCCTTTAGGGCAAGGACTAGCATTTACTCAGCTTTCATTTCCCATGGCAGTTACTATCACATAGGTATTAATATTTGATAGTAACTATCACATATGTATTAATATTTGCTGAGGACCAGCCTCAGCCTTGATGGGGGTCCTGAGGAAGGGGTGTTTGGGGGCAGCGACTCGAGTCTATGATGGATGCAAGCTGGCAGCTCTGTTCTGCTGGAGATAGCTCTCTGCTGGAGATCACACTGTCTTAAGATACCACTGTGCTCAAGATAACTCTCTTGCAGACCAAGGCTCAGTTTTTCATTTTGCATAAGCTACATCCTTAGTAAGTGCATATCAATTCAATCATTTTATAACCTTAGCCCCTTCACTCTAAAGACAAAGCCACATGGCTGAAGCTACTGAGTTTTGCTGCTTGCTGGAGCTGGAACATGGTACCATTGTTCTGTTACATTATCACCAGTGTTCTTTCAACTCCTTCACTACCTAAGCTTGGCTGTCCTGGAATTTGCTCTGTAGACAGACCTTGAATTCAGAGATCTGCATGGCTTTATCTCATGAATGGTGGGATTAAAGGTGTGTGCCACCATGCCTGGGCCTAACCTTTTCTTCACTTACAATTTGGTCTGTCCTAGGCTGGTCTTGAACTCAGAAATATGCTTGCCTTTATCTCCTTGGATTAAAGGTATGTACCACCATGCCTGGATGTAAGCTCTTTATGGCCAATATTTCTCAAGATCTAGATGAAAAGCCTGTGTCTTCTAGCCTCAAGATCTGGATCACAAGTATGTCCTCCTTTTCTGGATTATAGTTCATTCCAGATTAAAAGTCCAAACTATTCCTTGTTCAACTGCAAACACAAACAATAAGTTTAGCTGGGTGGGATCTTGTCCTGTGATTGCTACTCCCTAAATCTCTTTATCTCCTTAATATCTTTCTGACAAAGCTGACTCATTGTTGCAGCTGCCTCTATTCTTTTAGATCCGTGAAGCTCCTCATATAATTCATATTGCATCCTTATACTTTGCATAATTGAGATATTCTATAAAGAACAGAACTCATGTTTTCAGAGTTCTTTCCCACAGCACTCAGGGCTGTCCTGAATCACCATTTTGCTGAGGAGCAGCAGACACATTCTTCCCAGAATCCTGCTGTTTCTGATTAACATGGAGTCATTAACCTTGGCAAGGAGAACATTCCCTGAAGGGGGAACTTAAGGACAATATATATAGTATTATACAAAGAAGCCTTATACCTACAGCAACTGTCAGCACTCCAGAAGACCCACACCCTGCTGGCTCTACT